TAGAAAGTTTGCCTATGTCCACAATGTGGATCTTAAGTAATGCTTGCTACAATGAAATCTTACAAAAAGCATAATATTTCATCAGTGAGGGGACAGAATCTACAAGTACAAGCCATGGGAAAAAATTAACATTTGGGCGACCCCCTTTCCACGTCAGCGCCCATAGATAATTAATCGACAATAGCATTGCCAAAGCAAATGTTTCATTTGGGAGACTCCACGTGAGTGAGTGTGTCTCAGCTTTATCACTAAGCTGACAGTAGGCATAGGGACATCTTATTAACAATTCTCCATCTATGCTGTAAACCTCTTGGCATAGAGAGTGGCAGGATAAAATCTCAGAAATAGAAACACATTTTTCTTTACATTATATGTGAAATCTACAAGTACAAGCCATGGGAAAAAAGTAACATTTGGACGACCCCCTTTCCACGTCAGCGCACATAGATAATTAATCGACAATAGCATTGCCAAAGCAAATGTTTCATTTGGGAGACTCCACGTGAGTGAGTGTGTCTCAGTTTTATCACTAAGCTGAGAGTAGGCATAGGGACATCTTATTAACAATTCTCCATCTATGCTGTAAACCTCTTGGCATAGAGAGTGGCAGGATAAAATCTCAGAAATAGAAATAGAAACACATTTTTCTTTACATTATATGTGAGGGGGGGGGGTATTTTCGAGCAACTGCAGTTGTTTTTCGTGGAATGGGCCAGCAAAAACCTTGGCACGCCTCGGGTGTTATTAACCCCCTAGCTACGCCAATTATCAGCATCCACACGATATTACAAAAAAGACAAGCCACATGGGCAGAATATTTTGCGAGAATGCCATACAGCGGACTCCTTAACTTAAAACAACTTGTACCGGGAACTTTCCAGAGAGAAAAACTCAGCTCGTGGGCAGAAAATACGCATTGAAGATTGTCTAAAAGTTTCACTTAATAAATCCATGAACACCGACCTGAGCTCATGGGAAACACTTGTTTGGAGTCGCACAAGCTGGCGTGAGAGAGCACAATCTTCAGGAAGTCTTCGTATTGGTATCTCCCAAAGAAAGAAGCAACGAAAGGTATAATAGCCTCTAATACCTCTATGACCATTTGACACATGGGCCCTACACGCGGGCAAGCTTTCCAAGCACACATTGGACTGCTTCAAGTTCAGGTCACCTACCTACTCGCCGTCGAATAAAACATTGGCCAGCTTCGAATAAAGCGTTGGTCATCTTCGATTTCCGTTCAGCCGTGATCATCTTCGAATACCACCTTGGTCATCTTCGAATACAGCCTTGGTCATCTTCGAATACTGTCGTGGTCATCTTCGAATATAGCCTTAGTCACCTTCACATGTCAAATAAAACCTTGGTCAAGTTCACATGCGAAGGACGAACAACAAGTAATTCTTGTTGACTTTTAGTTTAGTAAAACTCCTTTAACAGCCAACAACTTTGACAGTAATTTTGAAGCAACAAATTTATACTATATTAAACAGGTTCTCAAATTTTTAGTATTTAATGCATTTCAAACTAACAGCCCCCCCCCCCAATGGTCTCCATTTAGCTACATCACTATCGGGTAGAAGGCGTCTGATAGCACCAGGGGCGGTGGTCTTTGCTAAACAGTAAGCACTGGCATACGAGAAAAACATGCGATCCGCTTCGGCATAAATATCGCTGTTCTTTTGAAGGAGTCTGTATCATTTTTAAGACGACGATGCAAGGGATCGGAGCATTCAAATATGACCAGCTTATTTAGAGTGAGTTTACGTCACTGGAACTGTCCATGCCAAAAGAGCCGTTCTTAGGAGTTTGGGGGCCTTAAGCATGGAGCGTAGGTTGGGGGCCCGGAAGGGGGGGGGTCCGGGGGTGGAGCTCCCTCGAACTGAGGAGAAAACACCACCCACCACTGCGGCACCTCCATTCTGCCTTCATCAATGTTTCCTCTTTGCTCGCGTGTAACCACTAATCATATTGATAATTCCGCCACTAGAGAAAATTTGTACTTCTGAAATATATGGACATGCGGGTGGTACTGGGGCCCTAGGCGGTTGCCTAGTTTGCCTATATGCCTAAGAATGGCTCTGGTGGCACTTATTGCCTTATTTTGAGGAAGAAGATCGCCCCCGGCTATCAATAATTTATTTGTGTGTGCATCTTTGCTATAACCCTTAGGTTTTAAGCGGCCCTACGGGGGCCCCCTCACGTTAGGGGCCCTACGCGGATGTGTAGTCAGCGTATGCCTAAGAACGGGCCTGATGCCAACTTCATCTTGAACCTAAATTATCCCTATATAAAAAAAAGAACATAACAGGAAATAACATATTCTTTTTTTCGCTTGATTTCAAAGCGCTCAATTTTTTATACACACTTGCGTTTTTCATTCACAAAATTCCGCGTGCGTCTAGTTGAAGTTGAAGTATCGCTTTTTACACGCTTTTATTTAGCTTGCAATTTTGTCTGTCTGGGTCAAATCTTGCATCTCAATTTTGACCCACTCCCTGATGTCAAAATATGCTGAGGAATGCTTTTAGCCGAATTTTTCTTGTTTTATTGTCGTGTCTTTCTATTTCAGGCTTCCATATACCTTTTTAAAGCAATCTTCATAAGGTCACTCAGAAATTGAGCATATAAATTATTCAGAGTAATCGCTAATTTAATTGCAAGGAGACGAGGATGCGCTCCTCCATGGATAGAAATCAGCTGGTTAACTTGATCTCTAAACTACGAGTCAAGGTAGATGGAAAAGTATTAGAAGGTCCAGCTAACGTGGGTTTTAAATAGTAGAGATGCCGTGACTGTTAAGTCTTTAATTTGTGTTGGCAATATAGGTTCTATATAAAACTTTTAATGACTTAAATGTGGTCGTTGCCTACTCGTCAATATTGTGCCCCTCTGAGATCTCCACCACTGCGTCACTTATTCGGCTAAACGCAACGCCATAACAATACTAACAATAGCCTTCGTTTGTTTCTTATTTAAGTGCAATAAATTATTTAAAAAAAATTTATCTCAATTTATTTGTTAAACAAGTACATGTTAGGCTTAAATTTATATTTTATCGGTGTTAGAAGTATCAAGGATATTGACAAATTAAAGGTATATTAAAGAATCAGTGTCTCGTCTCCAAACACTTCAATAGTATCGACCACCAGGGCAAGACGGACTTTTCTATAAGTGTGATCGTGGCTAGCCGGGTGAATTTGGAACACAGGCTTGACGTCACGTGGGATGAATGTCATGTCTCTTTTCACAGCTCGAACCTAGCTCCGCTTCTCAACGTCCCGACCTATCGCAGTGGACTTAATTCTCGCCTTTTCTTTCGCTCTTCCCTATTTAATCTCTCACTCACTTACTTTCTGTCACATTTCTTTTGGTGCCCACGGATACTACTTCTAAGCTAAGTGCTATTTTAAAAAAATAAAAATAAAAATTCTTATACCGTTTTTTTCTCTTGTTTTGTTCGGGGACGAAGGCTTTCTGCCAACACGTTCGTTGTTTTGTTGCGTTCCTTTTTCAGGTTTAACCCTACTTTGTTTTACTCATTTTATAAAGATATATTCCTTAGACTTTTTTTTTTCATCCATTATTAAACAAACCCTAAAAACAAAGATCTTCGTTGAACTCCTTTACAAAATTTAATATCGAACAACGGGAAGGTTGATGGCTGAAAATATGACAAAACATATATACTAAACGCACTTTATAATAGTCACAATTAATGCTTTCATCCCTCAAGACCCGCAACCACACATTTGTTTTTCATGCCCCTGAACTATAATAATATTCTAATGACCCACCCGCTTTTACGCCGCAGATTTATCTCACCAACAATTTTTTTTTTTAAGCAAAAGAAAATATTACGCACCAAACGCACTTGCTAAAGTTTTTTAAAATAATCTCATCGAGTGCAGTTATCGGGAATTTTATTTTATTTCCCCTCGAAAAGCAGGAAAAACTAATTTTGGGGGTTGGGGGTGGGGCTGAAAATCAGAAAGAATGTGTTGTCATTGGCAACTAGTCTATGTGCCAAATTTCAGCTCGATAGATTGACGGGGAATGGATAAATTAGCTGCCAGAAGATTTTTGCGAAGTAAATATAAAGGATTTAAAAACAACATAAACATAGAATAAACATATACACTTTTTAAACAATCGATGTCGGGTGTCACAGTTCTAATGAAGCCACCCGGTGCGATCCCAATAAACGCACACCCTTGTTAAACGAATGGCTTTGATATATATATATATATGTATGTATTAGTAATTATTTTTTTTTTTACAGTATAAAAGAGTCAGGATTTCCGCCGTTATCGTGTGGCCAACCAAATGGAACTGAAAAGACCAGAGTCGTGTGATGAACATATTGATCCAAGCGGAGGAGGACCCTCTGATATTGATCAGAAAATTATATTTTAGTTGTGTCCAGTAGCATCAGAAAACAATAGCCTATACACAAAGCTCTTCTCACCCAAGACATTTGTTTCGTTTTGTTAAGAAGGTGCGTAGACTTTATAAAAAAATACTCCAATGTGACGCATAAATATACAAACAAAATAAATATTCTAAGAAAAAAGGTGACAGTGCTGACGACTGACGAAAGTTTCAATGGAAGAATCATCAAAGAAAATGCAAATGGCAAGTAATGAATATGCAAAAGGGAAATTGATGTGGGATTGGTATATAGCTTAATAAACAATTATGAATTAGATACATGTTTTGCGGGGTAGAGGTGGAGGTTTATAATAATTGTAATAAATCTAGCATAAACATTTATTTCTAAATGGATTGGAATGTATCAATATATCCAATCCAATTTTTACAATATAATTATTTTTTAAAATAAATATATAGATAAATAAATAAAAATTCTAATTTCAAATATATTTTATTTACTATTTTTCATTTTAAAATAAAATTTACATTTAAAACTAATGAATTATGAGAGAAAGGTTAATCTCGGACAACCGAGAATTATTTCATTACCATAATACTACACTGTAGTGTATCAGAGTGTATTTTTAGCAGATTGTGTGTGTGATAACTTGTTTTGAGGAAACCTGATTGTAAATAATCCGTTTTGCATCTTTTCTTCTGACGTAAGCCAAGAAGAACTAATGTACTCACACTCTCGGCAACCCATTCACTCTACGAGCTAGGTAAATCCCAATTTTCATAAGTTTCTGTTTCTAAATGTTTGCAAAAAAGAGGGAAGCTAACGTTCAGTTTTGTCTATGTCGGCCCGTCGGCCATTTTTGTTGAAGCATTTTGGTCTTTTCCGCTTTCGTTTATTTGTCTAGCCCTAACTAGCAAAGCCATTTACTAAAATGTTAAAGGTTACTTCATGTAATGTGTTGTTTAAGTTACTTGTCCAATCATAAGTTAAAATTTTACATCTGCAGTATTATATAGCATGAGATGGGTTCAGTTTCATTCATACTGATTCATAGTTAATGTTATTATGGTACCACTTGATTACTTATTTAGATTCTCTCTCTGCTCTAGACCTAGCTCCAAGACTCTTTCAAGTATTGGCAGTATTTAGTAGTATTGATTAGTATTGCTAGTTTTACTATTAGTTATTACTTATTAGCCTACTTATTACTAGTTATTAGTATTGACATTGTATTATTGATCCCCTGTGTCGGCAATCTTTAATGAAGAGGCCACACTGGGCCAAACATCTTATTACTTATAATATTGATATTTTCATTGTAGATAGAAAGTTAGAAAGGGGCTCAATTTAAAAGTAAAAAAAAAATGTCTTTTAAAAAATGTTTTTCTTTAAAAAGTAACTAATTCTTATCACATCCTTGGTGAGTACGGTAGCTAAAACACATTCTTCATTCTCTCCATTTCCCCTCCCCACTCTAGAAGATTTGTATGTGCACTAATTTTTTGCCATGGTGTCATCTTTGTCAGCTGTCATGGCACAAACAAATATTGCACAAGCGCTGTAAATTTTTGAGTTGGATAGCATAAATTGGCTTAATTCACCTAAATATTGGGGTAGGGCTAAGGTAAATAAATAGGTGAGCCTACATTTTTTAAATAGGCCTGGTTGCTAGAATGTGTTTCGATATGTCTATAAATTTATTTTTAAAAATATAAAAAATGTTACAGTTGTATAGAGCAAACTTCAAATAAAAAAAATTAAACCAGAATCAATCTTCTAGTTTTACAAATTTTTGAGCTATGCAAATGCAAATACATTTGTAATTTGTTACTATGGACTGCACTTCCACAATTTTTTACCTGATTCTGCTCTGCTGATTGCGTCAGGCACTACACTATAACTCTTGTTTAAATGATAATTTATACAACTTTTAATTTTAGGATAATTGCTATTATAGGATACACACTATTGTACAGTTATAAATAAATTTTAACTTATTTAGCAATGTAATATGTATTATCAGTAAATTTAATAAATACCATATGGATCTTCTGTTTACTTTTTAAAGGCGTCCATTAAACATATATATTGTCTATATATAAGGCAAACTTTCAACTTTTGCATATGACTAATTAATTAAAGCTTTCCCCTACCAATTATTTAATAGTGTTTTTGAACTGCAATGTCTTATGAATGAAACTATGACAAATAATACTAAATGGTATAGTATGCAAGTGACTGAATGGTTGCCATGACAAGGATTTGCACACAGCAAGTTATAATTATTTATAATATGGACTACTAGGTTTTTAAACCTGAAATTAAAATATTCTTGTCTAAATGATGTCTAAGATCATTCTAAAACTCAAGTCATCATTTATTTTGATTTAAATTGTGGTAATAATTTAATATTTCCAAAGTAGTGGCATCTTTCGCTTTTAAATAGGGGGGGCGTGGTCAAAAATGGGCTAGGTTACCCTATGATAATGCAGGTTACTATGACATTTTATAGACTGTTAGGCATAAACATATACCGTATTTATCGGCGTATAACACGCACACATCATTTGCCCCCTATTTTCAGGGAGAAAAAGTGTGTGTTATACGCCGATAAATACGGTATAGAATTTTTTTTCTGCTGACACTGAAAAAAAATTAAAATTCTTCTTATTTTTTAATAATTAAAGGACTGCATTCAAGCTAAGTAAATTATATTTTATTTGTCTTGTGCGCTAAAAGAAGGTTCTATGCCGAAACGTTAAAATCTTTTTGTCCTGTCCTTTAATTCAAGCTACCACATACTTCGTTTTGTTATTTCATCCTTATTTTTTGCCGTTTCATGTAGGCTTACAATATGAGGAACTGGGCGCACTAACATATTATAACAAGTACTATAGTAGTGGTATAGACGATTTTTTAATAGATACTTGAGCAGCCTTATTTTGTCTTTAGCTAATAATTTAGACAATTTCACCAAAAATCAGTGTAGAATTTAAGTAAATCTCCGTGACATGGAAATAAATATTCTTGTATATGAAATTAGTTGCTAAGTCTTATTTGGCCAGTTGTTCAAAGTTAACAAAAGTTTTAAAGCATTGTGTAACCATTTTCCTGTCATTTTATTCATAATACTACTTAAGATTAAGGTTAGCAGGATTTATGTGTTAAATATGTGTTAACCATTTTCTTTTCATCATAATATTTGAGAGAAATCTTTAGCCAGCTACTAATTTTTAAAAAATGTAAATATAATCTTAATTGTATCCATTGCTTTTACAGTATCAAAAAGGTCATAGAAAATGACCATTGTAATGCGCCCGGGCTCGGCAGGTGGGGACACACCCCAAGAAAATATTAACAATCCTACACAGCCTCAGATGCAACAGCCAGGCATTACACAATCCCCTGCAGCCACTTCAGCAACAGCCTGCAGTGGGACATCAACGGCTCCAATAGAAAGTAATGCAATGGATACAAGCACAACTGTCACATGTTCTCCCCACAATGAAGACAATGGAATGTCAACTTCACCTATCACTGTCCAAGCAGCTGCAGGTGGAGAGCCAGCAGGTTTGTTGCAATATATCTCTGTATTACAGATGTCTTAACTGAGATGTTAAACTGTTTGTTTCATTTAAATTCTCCTGTAGGTCAGTGCTATTGTGCTGTCATGCTAATAATTTTCAACATTGACGAAAACAAATCCAGAGAATGAAAAAAATATTTTTGCTGAGATTAGTTCAGGTCCAGTGCTTAAAAATAAATTAAGATTTCCACTTTAGCATGAACTTACGAAATATTACAATATTTTTACTTTGCCCCCCCCCCCCCGGCTAAGATTTTTAAAAATGGTATATGTTTATGTATGTGGGTTTTTTTTTATTTATATATATATATGTATAAGGGGCTGCGTGCCAGAGGGGTCAATCCCGAGCTTGTGGACTGGAGTCCAATCCCCAGCAAAAGCCTAGATGAGCAAAAACAAACACCAGCACCCCAGGTCAATGTGACTTGTTAACCTTGGTTGGCAACTCATCTAAGAGAAGGCAAACTCTGAAGTAATGGACTCCGGCAACCCTTGAGACATGGAACGCTTAAAGAGCATAGTGAAGGAAGCACACCAAAAAAACCCCCCACCGCTGGTCATCTCCTGCATCCTGGACTATTTCCAGTTGTTGTGATTAGGTCTTGTCATTGGATCAAATAGGCAAGGACGAGAGAGTTAGGCTGAAGAATTGAGCAACTCTCCCTCACTTTAAACAAAATTGAGCTCAAGTCAGGGCTTACTCAAGTGGAAGCCTTGGTCATCTTTGCATAATACAATTAAATAAATATCTAAGAGAAAACCCTGGTCATTTTCTCTCTCTTTAACTTAATAGAAAGCAATGTTATTTATCACAGTCTTTACGCTTGTATCTGAATTGTATTAATTGTAATTGTGTTTCATTTTGAAAGTAAAATTTTAGCATACACAAGTGAAATGAGGATTAAACATATCTAGGCATTAAAACAAAAAACTCCATCCTAACTTACCCTGGTGATAAAATTGGCTTTGCGAGTTTGGACAGTACTCCAGTCTAATTGTTTGCAAGCACAATCATTAGAACAATTGGGCCCACTCATAAGATTCAGATATGGTGCAAAAACTTATGCTGCTGTTGAACTTATTCAGCTCCATATCTGAAAGGATATAATTCAATCCGATTTAATGTACAAAACTAATAGACTGCTCAGAAAGGACTTCATTTGTAAATCTCATTAAAGACTTTGAGTATACTGTTAGAAAAGTTATGATCCTTTAGGAGAGATTCTATGCACCCACTGTCTGTTACTAACTGTTGCGGCGGCTACTAAAAAGTAGTTTAGGGGTCCTTTATTGTATCCATTTTTGAACTTCACTGAATAAGTATGACTAATTATTTGTCCATAGCACAAGTGCAAGGTGGTGGGGACGCTGAGCCTGAATTCCCTTTGTTGGAATTAAATCGACTTGATGAAATGATCAACAGACCTCGTTGGGTGGTCCCTGTTTTACCAAAAGGAGAATTAGAAGTGTTACTTGATGCTGCCATAAAGCTTAGCAAAGAAGGTCAGTGCCTGTTTTCTATCAATCAACAAAAAAAATCAAATAAGACATATATTTATTTAGATAAGCCTTTTTTAGAAATATTGTTTTAAGACAATTATTTTGTTTCATTTTTGTCTAAATACAACTTCTTGTTAAGGGGTTTAAAAAAAATGTATCCTCAATATATTTTGTTTTATCTTTAAACTTTTAGATGCTGAGTATTAACTGGCAATCCAATTTATTTCATTCCAGTTTAAATGGTTCAGAATTTTCATTAAAATTTCTATTTAGGCTTGGATACAAGAAGTGAAGCGTGCCAAAGATTTTTCAGAGAAGGCTTAACAATTTCCTTCACAAAGATATTGACCGATGAGGCCGTCAGTGGCTGGAAATATGAAATCCATGTAAGCTAACTGGCACTCTTTCTCTAATTTAAATATAATAAATCTATGTTTTTGTTTTGTATCCACACAAAACCGTGTATTGGTGGCAGGCATATTTAACCCTTTACAGGGCAGACATTCTTTTTCTTGCTAGTTCGGAATGGGCAACATTTTTCTGGTTTTTATTAAGATTTAGGGTGACTTTAGTAAAAACATCAAATCTAAGGTGTTAGTTAAACAAATTTTTGTGAAATAAAAATAAATGTAAATGAATGCAGATTTATTTTTTTTACATGTTGCCATTAATCCACATATGAACACTAATATTTAAAAAAAAAACATATTGTTTGTGATTGTGAGTCATCTATTTACTATTAACAAACACTGTCGCGAAATTGAAGTGTGTACACTTAGACACTGCTTATGCTGATTTCACTAATATTACTAATAATATTAATATCTAGTTCCGATTTATGGTCAATTTCGTGCATTTCAATGTCACATATATTGAACCCAGAGAAATCTCCACTATCACTTGAAGAATCATCAGAATCCATTTTGAGAAAAAAGCAATAAAACTCCGAAGACTACAAAAAAATTCTATGAAATACTTGTAACTGGCGCCCACTCTATCAAACTATCTGCAAAACTGGATGTAAACAATCGGAAGTCTTGCAAAGACTCAATCGCGTGTTTACTACTCTTAGTTGTCATGGACGCTTTTGGACATTTTGCCCTAAGTCGTAAAGAATTTTTGGCCGCTCTGCCCTGTAAATTAAATTGAACATTATTTCACAAATTTAAAAAAATGTAAAAAACTAATGCATTGTTTTTCTTTATCTGCATCAGGAGCCCAGTATTGATCATTATTTTAATTTCTGTTTTTTTTATTTTTCTTTGACACAGAAATGTATTTTAAAGAATGCTGAGAAATTGATTGAGCTATGTGTCCACAAACTATCTCAGGACTGGTTCCCCCTTCTGGAGCTACTTTCAATGGTTTTAAACCCATCTTGCAAGTAAGTTTCAATTCTTAGTCAAATGGAAGAGGGCATTTGCTAAAAACATTCAAGGTGAATTTTACTGAAAAAAAATTACTGCTAACTGGTTGAAACCTTTTACAGATTCATATTTACATGTAACCATTATTTATATTTTGTACTTGATCTGAAAGAAAGTTTGCCATCTTCCATTAGGTTCCATTCATATAATGCCACCCGTCAGTCTGAAATTGTTCAGTCTGGAGCCCAGCTTGCAGATGATGCATTGTTTGCAAGACCTCCTGATCATAGGACCCCTAAAGTAAGGTTTATGCAGGAAGTTTAAATAGTAATAAAATTATTGTTGGCCAAAAATTGCTAAAATACAAGTATATATTCTTTATGTTACCTAACTGGGTAATTATTTTGGTGTCTTCTAAATCCAGATGCATTAAAAATGAGTTTTAATTAAATAAAAAGTGTGTTCTTAATTTATTAAGATGCTATTTTTATGTTATGTCCTACTTTTTTTTTCAAACATATTTTTCTTCAAATTTTTATATATATGAAGGGCTGGCTGGTTGACCTTGTGAATCGCTTTGGACAGCTGGATGGGTTTAATATACTGCTAGACAGGTTTCTCAAAGGACCTCCACTATCAGTGCCTGTTGTGGCTAGTCTAGTCAAGTAAGATATTATTATTATTTGTAGAGGTCCTGAAATTCTGAGCATTGAACAGTCCCACTGAAGAATCTTATGTATTGAAATCTTAATCTTAAGCATTCTTCTTTAATCCACAAACTGTCAAATGAAAACGGGCTGTAGTGTCACCTCTTTTTTTTTTATAACTTTGATGTCTCACTAATATACCAAAAATAAATAGAAATGAATCCAGAGACTCTTATAAGTTGAGATATATTCTGTGAGTAAATTGGACAAGGAATCATATGGTATGACTGTTAGTATTCTGTGAAGTATGGGAAATGAATATGACCTTGTACTTTCAACAGTGAGTACAATTGTGTTGCTCTTTATCTTTCCTTAACTCACATCCACACTGACTATCGGATACTTTTTATCATTTAAATAAGTGTCTTAGACACATAAAACAGTATTCTTTCAGTTTAGAAATATTGAGTTATTCAGGTTTATAGAAATTTATTTTTAACTATTCATTTGTGACATATTTATTTATAAATGCCAATTAAATTCATTATGACCATACTCTCCACTACTTACACTATTAGAACTTGAACTGCTACTAATTCTAGCTAGCTCCACTATCATAATTGTCACCGTGAGTAATGTCAACAAAGCTATCTTCAAAATCCTTTTCATACAAAATTAATTCAAATAAATTGGGCTGTCCTTTTGCAGGACAAACATTTGAGTCCTACAAGTCAGTTATAAAAAACCATCTCCTCAAAATTTAGCTTGATTCAATATGTAAAAAATAAAATAAAACACAAAATATTTACCTTAGTTTTCTATAAGTAGGAATTAAATTAAATTTATTAGAGTTATCCCCTTCACAATATTGTAAAACTTAAATTAATTTTAGTAGAAGTTGATTATTTCAGGAGTTACACCACAGAAGCGTACATAGCGGCAGATCATCAGCCATCATGACAGTTCGTAGGTTAATGGAAATTTTGTTTTGCTGTCAAACAGTGCTTACATTTATTTCTCTATAGGCCATTTGGAATGTGCAGTGAAGTCCTTACCCCCCACACAGTTGAAAAATACTTCATGCCTATTGTGGTAAGCATTTCTGAGTATTAAGGAAAATATGGAAGAAGTACATAATGAATAAACTTAATGTGTACTTCTTCAATATTTAAAAAAAAAATATTTTTTTTACATGACATAACAAAAATAGTGATGCTATGGTTGATAAGTGACTGTTCAAACTAAATTTATATAATGTAAGAGAAAACTTACTGTGTACTTCCTCCATAATTTTTATACATGACAAAAATAAAACAAAACTTGATGACTAAAAGTCTTATTCAGCGAACAAACAAAAAAAAAAGTAAAAATATAAAAAGAGGATTAGGCAGTTTTAGTTTGAGCTGTTTGAGTTTTGTGATGATATTGGTTGATAAGTGACTGTTCAAACTAAATTTATATAATGTGATTAAGATAATTGTTGATTAGACCTGTGGGTTAAAACCCAACTCAGACCAATATTTTTATGTTACCTAAACCTAGATGGAGAACCATATATGAAATGTGACCTACATATTATGTTCTCAACTTACCACATAAGTTTGATAAATTGCTGTCTTGCAGTTCCCATATGCTTATGTGTTAATGTTTTAAGAGATTATTTTTTAACAATTTAAGAGTGTTCTAGAAGAACAACCATTCGCTGTTTCAAATGATTGACAGCAAAGCAAGTTGATTATGATGTGAAAATGACTCTTAAGTTATTTTTAAGCATTCTGCTTATTTTGTTTTTAATATTTTGTATTTATTAATAGGATATTGTTCCAAAGTTTTTGGACAAGTTGACAGATGAAGAGTTGAAGAAAGAATCTAAAAATGAAGCAAAAAATGATGCCCTGTCATCTATCATCAAGGCCCTGAAGCAGCTTGTGAATCGACTACCCAATCAAGAAGAAACAACTAAGAGTCTGGAAATATTTCGCTTAAAAATGATTTTAAGGTAAGATTTGTGTTATCATTTTCACGAGCTCTCAATCTGACTGCTTTAGAAAACTGTATTTCCAACACCAAAGATTGAAATCCTCATACTGTTCATTCTTGTGGTAATTGTGTGTTCAGAGCATGTTCTTATTAAGGGCAGCTAAGCAAGCCATGGAAACCTGTCACCTTCAATCTGTTTTTATACCTTATAGAGTCCTATGCATCCTAAGGGTAGTCCAGTTGCATTGTTTGCAAAAGTATGGCAAGGCTAAGCAAAAAATGGAAGTTGTTTAGCACATTAAATGAAAATGTGTTTTCATTAAAATTTGGCTTAACTATTTTAATATTTCTTTGCGTTTAAGACTTTCTAATAAAATATGAATTTGTACTATTCCAACAGGTTGCTTCAGATTTCATCTTTCAATGGCAAAATGAACGCATTGAATGAAGTGAATAAGGTCATCACTAATGTCAGTTTTCCACCAAGCAGTCGGCATTCAAGTGTGGATGAAGATGAGTGGCTCACGGCAGACAAAATGGCTGTAAGTGTTTTTATGCTTTTTAATTGTATAAAAAATTCTCTTAAAAATCTATGTATTTAAAATGAAAGAAATGCCTCATATGCTTCGTTGTGACGCACTGAAGACATTTTTTTACATTTGTGCAACACACAACCTTTTGTTAAAGTAAAAGGACTCTAATGAAACAACACAGCATTTAACTCATTCCCTCCGGCAGCGCTGCTTCCGGACTTAATTTATTTTCCTGAGAAAAGGGAAGCAACTCAGTTTTGAAATTGATTTATATTTTAAAAATATTTTTTTAAGTTGCTAAATATTATTTAATGTTAATGAATTAAGAACAAATGCAACAAAAAATGAATAAGGTTTAATATAAATATAACATTAGCGGGGAAAAAATAACGAACAATGGCCAAAAAAATCGATTTTCGGCACCTCGGACAAACACATGCTACATATAGATGCGCCGTACTAAAGCACACATAGTTTTAAAGTGAAACAAGATAAAAACTTCCGGTTTCTAAATTAAAATCACGCCATAGCCGGAAGTCTCGAGGGACGCGAGATTTCATTGCTATTTTTAACTAAAAATATGAGAGGTGTGTCGCTATGCGCCGGGACGCATTTGGACGCATCAGGAGAAACCCCCAGAGGACGCATTTAGTCGCAACCGTCGGGAATGAGTTAAACAAAAATTATTAAAGTAACAAATGCCAGGATATAAACTAATTTTTGTCATAAATTTCATTATCAGGAATGGATTCAGCAAAACAATGTTCTGAGCATTGTCTTGAGAGATAGTCTTCATCAGCCTCAGTATGTTGAAAAGCTGGAGAAGATTCTCAGATTTATGATCAAAGAAAGGGCACTCACAATGGATGATCTAGACCGCTTGTGGGATGCACAGGTTTGTACAAAAGCTGATTTTCTATATGGTTAGTGGATTTCAGTAATTTCCTGATTTGACTTTTGTGCTGTAGGGCTCAAATTATTTACCCTGAGCATGAAGATATGATTAAGTTACATTATAAAGATGATATGAAAATCTGATTCTAAAATCCTGGTCAAATTAATATGATTTTTTTAATGTTAAATATTTGATATAGCATTAGTCATTAATGAAAAACACAAGTGAGTTGTTTAGGGGTAAAAGAATAGTTCTTGAAATGATTCCCATTGTAGAAAAGTTTTTGAATTAATTTGGTACTGTCCCTGTTATATAACACTACTTAATCTTTTTAACATGGTACTGTCAATCTTGTATAACACTACTTAATCCATTTCATAGCCCTGAATTCAATGAAGGGTTTAAAAAGTTTTTCAGTGTCACTGATTTTATGTCTCTTTTCAATTATACAGTCAGGAAAGCACGATGCTATAGTAAAAAATGTCCATGACCTACTGGCAAAGCTGGCCTGGGACTTTGCACCTGAACAGCTTGACCATCTATTTGAGTGCTTTCAGGTAAAGTTATAGGTATATCATTTCCAAAAACAGTTAAAACACTGATCGGATGGATAGATTAAACAAAAATTTAAAAAATCACATTTTAATGCATTGAAGTTAAGCGTTGATTTACATTAAGTAATAAATATTACTGTATAAAAATTCGTTTGTTCCCCAATCTGTACGAATTAACCGGCGTGCTTCCTCTGAAGTCACACATCTGAATGAGAACTAATAAGTCCCTGATTTTGCTAAGAGAACTCACTGAATTGCTGTTTGAAATAATTTATTATAAATGTCTTGTGTTCAAATTGTTTTATTTTTGTGCTGAAAATGTATAATGCAATAAAAAAAACATTTCCATTTATTTGAATCAATAAAAGAATCTTATCTTATCTTATTAATATGCTGTCAACACTAGGTGTGTTAAGTAAGCAAAATAATAATTAATATACAATTATCTTAAACAGGGATCATGGCATCACGCCAGCAAAAAGCAGAGAGAAAAACTGCTTGAGTTGATAAGGAGACTGGCGGAGGATGACAAGGAAGGAGTTATGGCTCACAAGGTAAGGTGCTTTCATTCATAGTAAATAAAATATTACATTGTCAGGGATTTAATTGAAATTATAAAGGAACATGTTTGATTCAAATTGGATTAGAAAGGAACAGAAACACAGTAAAGTAGTTGTGGTTCCTTGATGTATAATTTTTAACTTAGGAGTTTCACATATCCTTTGTAAATTCTGTCAGGCTTTTTTGTTTAAGTTTTTTTAATAAGTACATACATCTGAAACCAGGTGCTGACCTTGTTGTGGAACCTAGCACACAGTGATGATGTCCCCACAGACATTATGGACCAGGCACTCAGTGCTCATTACAAGATATTAGACTACAGCTGCTCCCAGGTACCGGTGAGAGCGTCTTCATCACTACCATAGTTGTTGTTAACATTGGCTGGCCTTAGTGTTCTTTCTGTTGGTTGATTTTATTTTGTTTTTTTCAAAGTGCAAACTTTCCTTTTCCAAAACAAGAATGATGTTAAAACATTCAATGTAAAAATCGATCAAATAATTCAATGAAGGAAAAAAAAAAGGAAATAGGTGTCAATTTTAAAGTTAGACCTGACAATTGGAATTTTATGCATGGGTGTCAACCTGAATGCTTTTTTGTGATGATTAGTAATTGGTGTTAAACAGTTGCATATCCCTTGATGTTTTGTTTCAATCAAAATGTTTAAGTTTAACATTAATATGTATAATTAATTTTAAAATTATACACATCTAAATAAATTAGTTCAAATATTAAAGTAAATAGTTTTTATTGGATGAGATTTTTTAAAAATTATAAGTTTTAGGGTGATGCACATTTCCTTATTTACTAATTTGACCAACTATGAGAGCTTCTAAAAGATTTAATTTATGTTATAAATAGTATATAAAATATTTCTTATATTTAATGTCCCTCTCTTATTTGTATATCAGGACAGGGATGCCCAGAAGCTACAGTGGATTTCAAAATTTGTAGAGGAACTGAAGAATGATCAGTGGGTTTTGCCTGCTTTAAAACAGATCAAAGAGATATGCACTCTCTTCCCAGAGGTACTTAGCTTTTTAACATATGTGCAATTTATTTAAAGATTGCTAAGTAAGGTTATTAGAATATTGCAGAACATATTTTACTTGTAACCAGTTGTATTTATTAAAGAGTAAAAATGTTTAAGTTCAATTTGTTGTAATTCTCAAAACTTCTCACAGCATCCCAACAAACTCACACCATCCCAACAAAACTCCTCACACCATCCCAACAAAACTACTCACACCATCCCAACAAAACTAGTCCCACCATCCCAACAAAACTACTCACACCATCCCAACAAAACTAGTCCCACCATCCCAACAAAACTACTCACACCATCCCAACAAAACTACTCACACCATCCCAACAAAACTACTCACACCAACCAACCCCACCGTAAAATGCCAGTTCTTAATGTTTTACATTTTACATGTGGCAATCACATTTTCTCATTTAATATTAGGTCGGTAATTAAATTTAAAATTAAAATTTATTAAGGATTTATAGAAAACAAAAAACACTTCACATTTTTTTACATATGTATACTAATCTACGCAATTGACATATATTTTTCATAAAATTTTTGAATTTCAAATGCCAAATTCTGATTGTCCTTACATTCTATGTTAAGTTTGACTCCTGCGAACTTTTAAAAATTATTATACAGAATTGTTTTCACATTCTCTTTGTGAGTACAGTTATTCATTGACTTTTAAAAAATAAAAGATCTGTGTTCAAAATATTATTCAAACTGAATTTTTCTTTATAAGAAAAGAAGAACCCCAAATCCCTTGCCCTTAAAGGAGTCTATAAAGCATCAGAATGCAAGGAACCACACTTTATCTTCTCACTCCAAAACTTTATAACTGTGCCTCTAGTTAAAACTGAACCAGAGTGCAAAATCATCTGAACAGGCCCCACAGAACTTTCCTCACAATCAGCGAGGGGCTCATATGTATTACCGTAATGGTGTCATTGGTCAGCTGCAGAATCAGCACTCAATTGTTATGTTAGTATCCCAGAATCTCTCGGCATACATGAATAAGCAGCGAGCATATGCAGAAGGTAAATCTTTGTTTTTTTTGTTTCTCTTCTTGTTTAAAAAAAATTGCATTCAATAGCAATGAGTTTTTGGACATTCAAATTTTATTTTGTCGTGTTAAACTATGTCTTAAGGAATTATAATAAACACAAATAAGAAACCATACAAGATGCGCTAACTTTTTTTATTATGTAATGTTTTATGTGATGTCTTTCAGCTCATCCCAATGAAGATCCAACTACAATTCTACCAGATGGACGCTTCCACCATAATATGCAAGTAGCTGAAAGGCTTAGGTTTCTAAGGTAAAATGATGTCAACATTTTCATCAGTGTTACCATGGACCTTTGGAGAAATACTAAGAAAAATAATCACATGATTTCAATATTTTCATCAGTATTACCATGGACCTTGGGAGAAATACAAATCAAAATAATCACAACTTTTTGGATTTTAAACAAATGTTCTAAATTTTTATCAGGGCTGCCGTCTCTTAACTGGTAGATTACAGAGATAGTTTTTAGACAGGTTATCTTAGCCTAACTCATTGTTGGTTGCTTTCCAGGCTTGTAGATTTAGGTCTTTTTAAAAACTCTTACCCAAGAACAGCTGCCTTACTTGGTGTAAAAATCCATTCCCATGATATTTTTACACTTGAGCAGGTCCTGATGAATTCAAACACAATAACTCTTTAGACAAAGTTTTTATCACGCTGAGTTTTGGGATGTAACGAGTTGACTTCTCGTTATCAGTGCTTTCAAAATTTGAAAATAAAGTAGTTTTCCAAACTTGCAGTGCCAATGTCATGGTAATAAAGCCTTACAAAACCAATGTCGCTGCCCTTCGGCTTCATAGCAGTTTTGTGGTGGTTAAAAAGCACTAAGCATTCATCTGTAAAGAATATAATTTTAAAATCCTATTGAAGGATTTGAATGAAATATTAACTTTATCAGATTCCTTTATGAATGCTACTAGTTTGGTGCTTTCAATATTTAAAAATAAATATTTGTTCTCTAATATAGATTTTCAAAGGGAACTGAAGATAACATTTGTTCTGTCCCAAAATAATAAAAAACCAACATTCAAACCATTGAAAGCTACAATATATTTGTTGTAAATCTTGATTCATTGTAATCAACACTTTTGACCATTCATATTGGCAGAGAAGGAAATCTGTTTTTGAAGATGTATGGGCAGTTCATTTACCCTTTCTATCACGTACCTGCTTTCCTGTCCTTACACTCTAGTCCCTTTATGGCGTAATCCCACCTTAAACAATGCCCCTTGTTCAACTTTGCCTGCTGAAGGTAACTCTTCTTATGAAGGAAGAGGCAAAGAGCCTATTTATAAACAGGAAGTGTCCAAGCTTTTGATATTCTTTAAAATTAGTTGCTTTGTTGAAAGTAGATCTAAGTTTAATGGTTTTTGCCCTTCCACATTGCTTCAAACTGCAAGTGCGTTGGCTGTTTGTATATAAAATAATGAATTTGATGCAGAAGTAGATAAAGGAAAGTGATGTTGATATTGAATTGATTCAACATTTTGATATCCCATATGGGTTAGAAGATGATGTTGATGTTGATGTCAGACTGGTCTAACCGATTTCAATCATTTGACATTGAAGAATTTTAGGTGTAACTTTTCTACTGGTTGAAAGATTGAATTTAAATATAAAGCTTTTTATCATCTATCATCTGATTCCCATTTCCTTTTTTCTTGATAGGTTCTTGCTCAAAGATGGGCAACTGTGGCTCTGTGAGGCTCAAGCTGGGCAGGTGATTAGGAGTGTCCACTTTTGTCTCCTCTTTAACAATGAATTCATGTTGAACATTTTGTGCAACTGACAAGTCATTCATTTTTATGTACACATTTTCTAAAACTCTGCACTGATGTGCACCTTAATTTATTTACAAATCATTCTTTTTGTAAAATTGTTTTTGTGTGTTAATTTTGGTTGTTACATTTTCAGATCTGGAATTGCTTGGCAGAAAATGCCATTTACTTTTCTGACAGAGAAGCCTGTTTCAAATGGTTTGCGAAGGTAGTTTTCATATTTGGTTGCATAATTTTAATAAAAGTGTGCTGTTAATGCAGATAAATTGTTAGTAGTTGAGCTTGTTTATGTGATTATTTACTAATTTTATCAATGAAAAGAGATTGTATGGTTCTCATTTGAGCACAATTCTTCATTACAAATGTAAAACTGAAATTTTTATTCTGTGTGAACTTTGATCAAACCTTGTAACTTTGTACTTTATAGCTGATGGGTGAGGAACCAGATCTTGACCCAGAAATCACCAGGGAATTTTTTGAGAGGAACATCCTTCAACTCAACCCTGACCTTCTCACAGAGAATGGAATGAAGTAAGCAATAATTTGAAGGCTATGGCTTTGTTAAATTATGGAAGCAGTGCCGAAATACTATAAATGGCTGTAGATTATCTGGCGTACAGCTGCATAGAAGGCTCTGCACCGGAATATCTTAAGAACTGATTTTTAACCATGTATCCTTAAAGAAACTGCAGTCTTCAACACAGTCCTCACTGAAAATTTATCTTGTGGATGAACACAGAAAAAAGTCTTACAGAGTGCGCTCTTTTGAAGCGCTACCACCAAAATTATGGAACAGTTTGCCTCAATCTTTGAGGGGAATTGAAAATGATAAAAAAATCATTTAAGAAACATTAAAAAACTTTTCTGTTTAAATAAATTTAACTAAACCAGAGCCCAGTGGGCATGGTAAAGTAGCATGGATACCAGTGCTATATAAATATCAAATCAAAATCTTCAAATAATTCAGGCAGTGTTGGCAAACTTTTTAGAAGCGGCTTATAAAAAATTTGGAAAATGCATAACTTTATGGAGTTTACCAGAAGACCAAACACATTTTTGTGTGTATGCATAAATGCAATTACTGTTGTCCCAAAGACTGCAAAAACATTACTAGGAAAATATATGACTCTTTTCGGAATTAATAATTTGACACAGAAAACTGGAATGGAAAAGTGCTTTAAAGGTTTAATCCTATTTTCATTTTAATACAAAAATTCCCAGTTCATAATGCTGTCAAACCACTTCGTTTCAATCTTTAACTTTAACATATGATGTTTGCACAAACCATTTTGCATTATTTAAAAAATGTAATTTGAAAGTCCATTGACTTTTGATAATTTGAATGTTACATTAGAATTTTTTAAAGTTTATTTCTTTATTTTCGCCAACAGCTGCTTTGAACGATTTTTTAAACAAGTGAACTTAAAGGAAAATAAGTTGATTGCAAAACGTCGAGGAGGATATCTCATGGATGATATAGAGCTGATTGGTTTAGATTATCTTTGGAAGGTTTGTTGGATGAATATCTCAAATTTTTAGATTTTGCTTAAATGTTCTCTTACAATTAAATAACAACCAAATTATAAGGTTACAAATCACATTGATTTTTAAATGTTTTATTACATATAATTTTTTGTTGTGATTATAATAGTGAAAAATTGTTTGCTTTGACCACACTTCTTACCTTTAAGAAGGTTGATTGAAAGTTGCCTTTCTTTGAGACTTTGACTTTATGTAATAAAAGTGAGATCAAAAAAATATTTTCTTATAACCACATAAAATATTTATAAATTAATAAAAATCTTGTGAGTAGGACAAACTGAAGACTGGCCAAAAGAAAATTATCCTCTTACTTTGTTAAAGCTGGTACATAAAAATCCTCACATTATTTTCAAAAGGTTGTTTTGTGGAGTCCAGATGATGTAGCAGAAAAAGCCGTGACCCTTTTAAAAGATATTTTTACCAACCTGGGTCCCAGGCTGCAGCAAAAGCAAATAGCCATCCACGAAGATTTCATCACATCCTGCATTGACCGACTCAAGGCCGCTTATGACACTGTCAGTATCCTGGGTCAAGACACAGATACAGCCAGCAAAGAGCGTGTCCTTCAAGAAACAGCACGTATGGTTCGAGTTCTGACAGTACTGAAAGAGTATTTAGCAGAATGTGACGAGGCTTACAGAGAGGAGAGAACTATTTTGCCTCTCAGCAGGTTTGTGTAAATCTCATTTCTAACTTTTTAGTTATTTTTGTTGTCTTTGTCTAAAATTAAAAATGATTAGATATGAAGAACATCAACTTTAAACTATCAGTTGTATTTTGCTTTTGTTAACGGACCACTTAAGTGCATGATTCAACCAATTTTCTCAAACTTGTCATTTCATTTTCTCTGCTTTAAAAATATTTTTCTAAACCTCAAAAAGAAATTTCTAAAAATGCATAGTGTTTTTAACTGTAGCATTTAACATATCTCATAAGTAAATTTGATTGTGACACTTATGATTGACCAAGTTATTTTCGTCTTAGCAAATCTATGAAAACATTTCTTTCACCTTTCTGCCAGATTCTTAGCATTTGTGCTTAGCATAATGTTGCAGCTTGTGATGGCATTTTAAAAAAAAAAAAGATTTCATATTTTGTTACTTGACTGTTGAATTCCTTGGAATGAATGTTTCAGGGCTTGCCGGGGCAAGTTGATGCACCTGAAAGTGAGGTTCCCAAGCCAAAACCGTCAGGGGGATGATGTGGAAATCTGGTCACACTCCAATGAAACTGTTGGGCAGGTGCGAAGGCATATACTTCAACGGGTAAAAGCCGGCCCCAACATCAAAGTAGAATTGTATGTAAATGCTGAACAAATAGACACCAGTGAAGACAAGAAACTTATCTCTCAGATCAATTTAAGGGACAAGCCGGTAAGTGCTCTTCTTAAAATTATTTGTTTTGTGTTTTCTAGTTTATTTATTGTGTAATATTATTTTAATGTTATAGGAAATCCTAAGTCTTGTTCCATATCATACCCAGTAATGTAAATCTTTTTGTGATTCACAGTTTAAATGTATCCCAATTAACAGGCTCTCTATTTCTTGTTAAAATTTGGTTGTGTATCTGATAGTATATTGTGAGTTGTTTTTTCCGTCTTAAATTGGCCTTCCAATTGATACTTGCAAAGGCTAAAAAATAACTGTCCATGTTTTTCAGCTGTAATATTGATCAAAGTCATTTATATTTTAGAAAGCATTTAACGTATTTCTCAGCTGCCGTGTCTCTAATACAGAATTGGTATTTTATAGGATCACTCTACACTTCCTCAGACTTTAACAGGCAAACTAGTCCAAGTTGGGGGGAACATGCCATCTAGTCCAGACAGTAGTAGTGACAGTTCTGTGGGATCTCCACATAATCAATATGATGGGCCAAATTTAGAGGCTGAGAGTGCTTTGCCCGGAGTGGTAAGTAATGTAAAAATATTATTTAAAGCTATGTTTCTAGAGATAGTGCAACAATGTGATAAAATAAAGTATTAAATCTCCAAATCTCTAAATTTTAAACAATTTTAAATTTTGACAAAGCTGGTTCTTTTATTCTTTGTTTACTCTGAATTCTGATTTTTAAAATTTACTCAAAGAAAAATGTACTTTTCAAGCGATAAACCTTCTTTTACAGATAATGTCCCAAAAGCCCCTGTACAGTCAGTTCCTCTTCCAGTTATCTGATTTAGGATGTCAGCTACAGGAGCCAAAATTACGTGATACAGCCAGAGCAGTACTTAAAATAATGCCTGCAGGTGATCCAGTTCATGTTCATATCCTCACACTTTGTCTTGAAAATCTAAAATTTGTCTTAGTTTTTTTTATGCTGTGAATACTCTACCAAAAATATGGCATTATTTTAAAATGTAAAAATATAGTTCAATTGGCTAATATAAAACTCCTTTCCAAGCTTGGTAGTTGTGAATATTATTGATTAAATTCTCAAAAACTTGTCTTGTACAGTCTTTTTCTTATCACTAAAATTTTCATCTCTTTCATTTCAGACCTTCACACAGTGAAATCCTTCACAACTATATGCTGTGAAGGAGCTACTTCTGGACAACCGGTATCAGCAGCTCTTGAGGCAATGTTCTTCAACAGCTCAACAACACAGGCTCTCTATAACATTGAGGTATTTGCACATAGAACTCTTTTGCTTAAATGTTTTAAAAACATCATTACTATCGATTTGGCAGTTTTTGACATTTTAAAAAAAAAAACAAAAAAACTTTTTGTTACGATCTTCCCCTCCGAATTCTGGCAGGTGGTTAGTTGTCTCAAAATGTCTAGGGGTTTTTCTGTCACAGATGGTTTATTAATTATTACCAACTGGCGCTCTGTCCCATGAATAATATAAAGCATGCAAAGATCCAACAGACATAACACTCTAATGACAACTTAGCATCCTGATTATAACAAAATAACACCACAACCTGAACTCGATGAACTGACTCGGTGAACTGCCTTGCACCCTGTGTTCAAACATCATTTTAACATCTCACTTGTTCGGTGTCCTTGCAAACCCCGATCAATCATAACTTGCCCTCACTAAACTATTCACCACTCATGATTAACAGCTATTCTGTACACAAACAATAACGCTCACAAATCCAGATCATAACACAGATGTTATCATTTTCCTTGCAGGTTTGCTATGCCCTTCTCATGCCTAGTCTAGATCCTCTTTGTGAAGAGGCATTTCATTTTCAATTGAAATTTGTACTCAGTGGAGGTATCCAGCTTGCCATCAACATGCTTACAAAGAACAACTTTATGCCAAGTGCAGATCTTTCATCTAAAAGGTTACTTAAAAAATTTCTTACTCATCTAAAAGGTTACTTAAAAAATTTCTTACTCCTTATATAACATTTTAATGGTCAGACTATTTAAAATTTTGTAACAGAACCATTTTAAAGATTGACACTTAAAGTGTGCTCTTAAGAATCATTTAAAGATTTCAACACCTAATGATCTCCTTTATTTATATGATATTAGCTGTCAATCTCTTCCTTTCATGTTGAAAGGCCATTGCACTGTAAACACTTGTTTCATATAGCATCTTAAGGTTTTTGGACTTAATTGTGATAAAATATACCTGAGATAACTTGGCCTGATAAACTTGATTTCCAGAATATTTTTTTTTTCTTCTTCTCATTACAGAGCAGCTTACCAAACAGTGTTGAAAATCAGCAAGATGATGCTGACGGTTCTGGGCCATGCCCGTGTTCAGATTGTGGTGGAGGCTTGCAGCACGGAGGCCAGGGCGGCCACACTGACTCACAAGGCACACGAAGAAGCCGTAGCACTGCAGAAAGCCCTGTATCATATTCCAAGCCCTGAATCTGAATACAGCATGAGGAACGTAGCATCTAGATTGGGATTGCAGCTAGCTGAGCAGGTAGGCTTTTTAAAATTATTTTATCGCAGGCTAATGACAAACTCACAGTGTTCAAATTGAGTTGGTTTAAAAACACTTTGATAATGTTGAAGTGATTACTGTCTTGAATTTAAAAATGTTGAAGTGATCATTGTCTTGAATTTAAAAATGCTAAGATAATTTATGAAAACTAAATAAATAATTACATTATTAGATTTTTTTTATAGTATATAAAAATTAATATTTATATATTTATTATGTTTGATTTTTTTTTCAAGGCTGTTGGTGTAAGTCCAGATCTCAACACAGTTAAAGCAATAATGAAGATAGCCTGGTCCGCAAGTGCCTGCAGCTTTCATTTGGTCCAAGCTTCGTATGAGGATATACATTCTGCTTTTGAGAAGGTAAGTGATGGTTAACATATTTATTTTTGAGCTTTTAATGATCAGTGGAAAAGTTTCAATACTTTTTACAGTCAAAATACTTATGAATTACTGATTTTTGATGTTATCTATCAAACATTTTCTGTCATACTAACACATAAAATGATTGTGAATGTGGCACAATTCAAATTGTTTTAAATATATTCTCTTGCAATCATCCTTATGACATTAACAGAATTTAGTATAATTCTTTCGGAAAAATAAAATGAATTTTATGTTTCATTATAGCCACGGGAAGCGGGTCCATCTGATGGTGAAGATATCATAGTGGCCAGAGAAGGGCTTGAGAATTTAACAGTGTGTATTGCCCTCAACCCGCCCACCTTAGATCAGCTTGACAAAGAGCATGCGTGGAAAGATTTTATCATTGATCTGTTGCTTTTGTGTAAAACTCAGTGAGTATCCTTTACCCACATTTTTTTTTAATTAAATTCAGAATTTTTTTTTTTACTGCAGTTTAATCAAGAAAATATAGTTTAACAACTGCTAAGCTCTTTTAAGAAAGTTTGTCAAAATATCTCTGTTTGATGTACACAACAGAATGGGTACTTCCTGAATTTCAGATCATATTAATTATTCTGGGCTTCGTTATTTTTATTTTACCTAAATTGAAGTTTTAATAAATTGTATGACCTGAGACACACATTATGGTATTAAAATAGTCTTGTATACCTCATTTCAGCCAAAGTATACGTTCATGTGCTGCAGAGCAATTTTTGCAGATGTTTTCCCGGTGTAGTGTTAATCCCCGTAATCTCAAGTGGTTGGTCACTCTTCTGTTTACAAAACTAGAGGTGAGTCCATTTCCACGTTTTAAAATTTTTTGTTCAAACCTATTTTATTGAATAGTTCACAAGCACAGCTAGGGTAAGATATAATAAACTGAATATATTTAAATCAAGAATAGAGTTAATTAATCTCCTTTTAAAATATTTTTTTTTACAGACAACTGTCAAAGACAATGCTCAACAGTCCCATGAATATTTTAGTTTGTTATGCAAGTAAGTACAGTTCATTATTTTGTTACTTTTAATCTGCAATACAAATACCTGTATGAAAGTGCAATAGGATGCCTTGATGTTCCATGTTGGTATGTGAATGTTCTCTAGTGCAATAAGATGCCTTGATGTTCCATGTTGGTATGTGAATGTTCTCTAATGCAATAGGATGCCTTGATGTTCCATGTTGGTATGTGAATGTTCTCTAGTGCAATAGGATGCCTTTATGTTCCATGTTGGTATGTGAATGTTCTCTAGTGCAGTGGGATGCCTTGATGTTCCATATTGGTATGTGAATGTTCTCTAGTGCAGTGGGATGCCTTGATGTTTCAAGCTGGTATTTGAATGTGCTCTCTCATTTTAAATGATGTAATAAATTGTTAATTTTTTGTTGTATTTTTTATCCCTTAGATTGCTAAATCATGCATCCAAAGAGGGATCAATGACAGTGGAGCCACAATTGAATAATGAGATTGTTTGGTTGATGGAAGTTAGAGTTAGTATTTCTTTTATGAAATTACTCTTTTTGTCTTTATTAACGATTGGCTGACAGATTGGACGCTGCCATTAAATCAATGACTGAATTTAAGATCAAAAGATATAGTTTTGGAACATCAGTAATAATTATAATTGCATCATACCTCCATTGTGTATAAGATCCAACTATGGAAATGTGTGATTTCAAAGGCCTCTATCATAAATATGCAAACATATGTCTTTTTAATTGATCAGGAAGAAAAGAAAAGAGAATTTGCTACAATAACAGTTACAAAACCTGCATTTACCCAGGCTTGGAAACATGAAATTTTTATAATTTGTTCAATTGTCATGTGATTAATAAGTTGAATTTTTAAACATTATTATGGTCATCTTGCCATTCTACTGTCATTTCTTTTCTAACTATTTCAAGGATAAATATACTTGAAATTTAAAAAAAAAATGACTGCTATTAATAATTCAAATTTTTAAAAAATTTAAAGGACAGGACAAGAAAAAGAGTCAGGTCGAGCCAAAAAAACCTTGATTGATGCTAAAGTATTGAAGCTAAAAATCTTGATTGATGCTAAAGTATTAAAGCCAAAAACCTTGATTGATACTAAAGTATTAAAGCCAAAAACCTTGATTGATGCTAAAGTATTGAAGCCAAAAACCTTGATTGATGCTAAAGTATTGAAGCTAAAAACCTTCATTGATTCTTAAGTATACTGTTTCTACTCTTTTTTCCCCTGTTCAGGTTGTTGTCCTGACTAAAACTTATTTTAATTTAGTTGTTAAATTGATTATTCACAGAATCAGTGTTTGAAATGTGGTGAAATTCAGGTTGATGATGCTTTGCTAGAGGGTCGAATGTGTATCACAAAAGAGCTGCTATCATTCCAGTCATCTGAGAAAAAATATCAAATTGGTTGTAAAAGTGGAGGAGCAGATCTCATCAAGGTAAATTATGATTGTGGATAATGTGCTAATTTTCTATTTGTTTTCTGGAGCCTCTGATAAAGGTGAGGGAAATCAAAGCTAAAAGAAAATCATTACAACAATGTGTTTTATGCATGACCAACACTTGGCCAGACACAGTAATTAACAAACACTGAGACAAAGGTACATTTCTCTGTAAAATTGGCCTAAACTTTATTCCTCCACTTTTTAGACATTGGTGGAAGACTTTATCTTCCCAGCTTCCAAACTTGTTACCCAATGCCGAAAGAATGAAGCAGAGTTTCCTGCTGAACACGCTGTTCCAGTTTGTTCCAGTCAGAATACAGTAGTGGCCGCCTATGACCTCCTAGTGGCCTTGTGTATGGATTGTGTACAAAACCTTCAATATCTGGCCAACCTGATTATAGAGATGTACTATACTGGTCAGTTTTAGTTAACACTTGTGATTGTCTTTTAATTTTTTTTATAGTAAACCAAGATTAGATACTGAAACCCACTCCTGCCTATCTTTTGATGTCAACTATCTTTATGTGTCCTCGTTTTATAGCCATTTTAATTGTTTCTATGGTATTGTAGTTACTATCCTAGTGTCTCATTTTTATTTTAGTTAGTTTACATGTTTTTAATAATTGTAAAGCGCTTAGAGCTTTAAGGTAAGCGCTATATAAAAATACCTAAATAAAAAAATAAATAAAATCTTATTTTTCCAATGGAAAGTAACTCCATCTTCTAAAAGTTAATATGTCTTGTAATAGCTTCAATGCAATCCATAAACTATATAAAAAAATTTATTTTTTGTATAAATATCTGCATTGATAGTTTCAAAATATGCATTTTTTTACTTTTTGGTTTGCTTTTATGTCTCTCTAAAGCTCAACATTAGTTTTATGTTGTCTAATGTTCACAGACAGCCAACCTGTGATGGATTGGGAATATGTGCCCTTAGTTGGTCCAAGACCCCCTCGTGGATTTGTGGGTCTAAAGAATGCTGGTGCTACTTGTTATATGAATTCAGTTTTACAGCAGGTAATCTCGATTTAAATATTTTGCTGATTTTCAAGTAAGTAAGGAAATGTTCTAAATGCCATTTGTTAGGTATTTTGTATACCTTTTCTTACTTAAGGCCAAGCTGTTTTTAAACTGGTATACACAAATACCCAGTTTGCAAGGAGCATGTCATAGAAATAGCTGTTTTGGTTTAAAAATTTTGGCCTGTGGCTAGTTTTGTGACATAGTAGAAGTAACTTTTTTTAAAAATCTTAAATAAGCTGTACTTTATATTTTAACAATGAGGATGGTTTTGAAATTTCAATGAAAATTAATCCTTTGATTTCAAATTCTTTTTTATAGAAGACTTCCCTTTTTAATAAATATAAATAGGTGTTTCCTATTCTTCTTTGTAAATTCAGTTGTTCATGATTGAGCCCATTAGAAATGGTATTTTGGCCGTGGAAGGAGCTGCTGACAACGTGGAAGAGGAAATGCTCATCATTGAGAAGGAAAACAGCATGTCTATGGTGAACACAGAGAAGGAAAATACAATGGTAACTTTTCATGCTGTCCAAAACAGCATCTGAAATATGTAATAAACAAACATGTCAAGCTTCCTTTAGTCTAATTAGACTTTGTATCTGTGCTTTGGTCACTCCGTAATTTAAAATTTATTGTAATTTAAAAATAGATTCAATGACGGGCGGCCCAAACCAAAAAATTGAAACAAAAACAGAGCAGTTATGAAACCTATTATATTTAGAAAAATGATTTTGAGATCTCTTTCCTGCAGGGCTGTCAGGTCAAAGACGAGGATGTCGATGTAGGACAGACACAGTCCAAAGAAGATGAGAGGAAATCCTACAATCTGGGCGTGCTCAGACAGATTCAAGTGATATTTGGTCATCTAGCTGCCAGCAAACTGCAGTATTTTGTACCTAGGGGATTTTGGAAACACTTCAAGTAAGTTCAGCTTTATCATTCTACACATTGTGAGATCATTTATTTCATATTAAATTGTGCTGTTGGCCTTGTACATGCTTATTAGATGTCCTGTCTATCAACAATTCTTGCCTCATCTATCCAATAAATATCAGATGTATGATCTGACCATTGAAAACAAGATAACTTGATCTCATTTAATGTCCTTCTCGTGTACAGACTGTGGGGGGAGCCAGTTAATCTGAGGGAACAGCATGATGCCCTGGAGTTCTTCAACAGTCTGGTAGACAGCTTGGATGAAGCATTGAAGGCCATGAACCAGCCCAGTATTCTGTCACAGGTTATGGGTGGGTCATTTGCTGACCAGAAGATCTGCAAAGACTGCCCCCACAGGTTCTTATATATCTTGAGAGTTACATAAATCTATGTTTAGTGTTTGTCTTAAAATGTCTCCAAATTGTCCATATTCTGAATGAAAGACATTTAAACATGTTAAAACTGCTTTTAATATTACAAATTTAAAGTTTTTAAGCATTAAAATAAGTTTATAAGAATACATAAAAATTGGATACTACAATATTATAGACCAAAATAACTTCCAGAACATATTATGCTGCAGTTTATTTATTGGTATCTGATTGCTGGAAAAATTCATTTGTAAAGCTGTATACTGTTATACATTTTTTGTTGTTCATGGTGAACATAGAGAGGGGTGAGGGGAGATAAGAAACATCCATGGGAGAGAATCTGAATCTATGGCAGTATAGGGGTGGGGGGGGGGGATGTTGGAAAATTCATTTGTAAAGCTGTATACTGTTATACATTTTTTGTTGTCCATGGTGAACATAGAGAGGGGTTAGGGGAGATAAGAAACATCCATGGGAGAGAATCTGAATCTATGGCAGTATAGGGGTGGGGGGGGGGGATGTTGGACAACTCTGCAGAAGGTGCAGCAAACATTAAGTTTAATCAGCTGATCTACTGGTAAATACCCTTGGTTTGATCCATCAACTTTAAAATTTAACCAATTTTTCTAATTATTTTTTCAAAATTTCAATTTTATCTCAAGTATATACCTAAATATAGAAAAAAAAAATGGAAAAAAAAAATCCACAGATTTGATGTAACCCATAGCCTAGATTCCTGTTATGTCATTGCTAAATGCCATCTGTTGCACGTGATTGTCATTTTCCCATTTTAAACTACATTGTACTAATGTAAAATGGCATGTAGGCCCTTTTTTGCTTTTACAGTCAAATAATTTTTGTGGTGGGGTCACATTAGCCCACAAGTTGCCGTCTGTCCTAATGACTAAGGTGGCCTTTTGAGGGTTAATATGTTAAATTTGAAAAGCCCAATGAATAATAATCTTTCTCCAAAAAATCTAGATATCAAAGAGAAGAGGCCTTCACAACATTAAATGTGGACATCAGAAATCATGCCAATTTGTTTGAGTCCTTGGAACAGTATGTCAAAGGAGATTTATTAGAAGGGGAGAATGCATACCATTGTGAAAAATGCAACAAAAAGGTACCAGATTAACAAGAAAAAAAGATTGAGTTCGATGTTATAAATGTAAGCGATAAATTCAATGAGCTTAACTTAAGTTTGGCCCATCTTGGCATATTTACTGTCTATGTTTCAATAAAATCATCATTTCATTTACCTTTACCAGGTGGATACGGTAAAGCGACTTGTGATAAGAAAACTGCCAAAAATTCTTGCAATACAGTTAAAACGTTTTGATTATGACTGGGAAAGGTAAAAAATTTATTTATTAATTTCTGAACTTTTTTTTTCTTCTTATATGTATTTTATATTTCAAATTGATAAAGAATTAATTGGTTATTTAGAAAACTTTAAAGATTGAAAACAACAAATCATTTATTAAATTGGTATGAAAGGTGGTAAATTAAATATCTGTCAGGCGCAGATTTTCTCATCTAATTTTTAAAATGTCAGATCATTGGTAACTAGTGGCTAATGGCAGTCCTTTCATTTATATTGGCTAATGGCACAATTAGACATCTGGAATTCAAGTTTGAAGCTTTGTGGATTCAAACGTTGAATTTCCCAACACAGATTGGGTACCGGTATAAAATGTATATACTAAGAAGTGATTGGGCATAGCGATATGGATACATTTGATTAATTCAAACAGTTCCATCTAAATGTACTCAGCGGTGAAAGCTTTTGTGTTTGTGAATAATTTCTTGATATAAATTGAAATGTAGCTGTTACATTAAATTAATTGTGAATAATTTCTTGATATAAATTGAAATGTAGCTGTTACATTAAATTAAAGTGCCATCTTTTTAAAAAACATGACATATTGGGTTAATATGTACCTGTTGTACTCACTGTTTAAAGGGAATGTGCAATCAAGTTCAATGATTACTTTGAGTTTCCTAAGGAGTTGAACATGGAACCATATACTGTACAGGGATTAGCCAAAATTGAAGGTAAGACATTCAGCTGACAGAAATGTAGTGCATTCAGTGGACAGCACAGCAGGGCATTCATTTAACAGGAAGGTGGTATGTTCAGGAGACAGTACAGCAGTGCATACAGTTGACAGGAATGTAGTGCATTCATTTAACAGGAAGGTGGTATGTTCAGGAGACAACACAGCAGTGCATTCAGTTGACAGGGAGGTGGTACATTCAGTTGACAGGAAGGTAGTGCATTCAGGAGACAACACAGCAGTACATTCATTTGACAGGGAGGTGGTACATTCAGGTGATAGGAATGTAGTGCGTTCAGTTGACAGGAAGATAGTGTGTTCAGAAGACAGTAAAGCAGTGCATTCAGTAGATGGGCCCAGCAGTGCATCAATTGACAGGAAGGGAATACATTCAGCTGACAGGAATGTAAGGCTTTCAGTGGACAAGAGTGTAGTGCTTTGAGTGGACAAGAGTGTAGTGCTTTGAGTGGACAAGAGTGTAGTGCTTTGAGTGGACAAGAGTGTAGTGCTTTCAGTGGACAAGAGTGTAGTGCTTTGAGTGGACAAGAGTGTAGTGCTTTGAGTGGAGAAGAGTGTAGTGCTTTGAGTGGAGAAGAATGTATTCAATTGAGTGGACAAGAAAGTATTCAGTTGACAGCAAAGTAGTTTATTTAACACCATAAAATATATTAGATTTTTAAGAATGTATGGAGGTGAAAATAGAAAACGATTTTAATTATTATTTTTTTATATTAAAATATTTGTTGTACTTAAGGCAAGGATTAAACAAACAAAAAATAACTATTCACTAAATGTGGACACATTAATTTTTTTTTTACAATACCTAATTGAGTTGCCTTAAGAGATCGTCCATTTCAAGTGATATGTATGTGGGATTCATTGCAATTAGTAAATTCATTTAGTAAATTCTGTAACTATTCTGATGGTTAGCAATATTTTACAATTCATATAAAAATAATAACTTAATTTTCAACAGGGGAAATAATTGATGAGTTTGATGCAGCACAGAGCACAAAGTACAGATTAGTTGGTGTTTTAGTTCACAGTGGTCAAGCCAGCGGTGGTCATTATTACTCTTACATTCTTCACAGGTAAGATAAAAGAGGACAGTTACACCTTTCAAGTTTCGAGTATTAGTAATGGTTACAAATCTCCTTATAATTTCTTTAATGAGGATGTTATGATTGAATCCAATTTATTCTTTAACACCCAGTAGTTTCTGTCTCAGAAGGAAAAAAAAAAATGAATTTAAATAGTTATTAGTTATTTTCAAATTCAAATTTGTTTTGTTTTGATTTTATAGGTCACCTAATGATCCTGCACCTAAATGGTACAAATTTGATGATGGGGATGTGACAGAATGTAAGATGGAAGATGAGGAAGAAATGAAAAATCAGTGTTTTGGTGGAGAGTATCTTGGAGAAGTCTATGATCATATGCTAAAACGGTGAGTTAAAATGTCAACTGAATGTACCACCTCTCTGTACACCGAGGACTAAGTTAAATTTTATTAGCCGTATTGTCAATTTGTAGAAGCTGAAAGGGCTGTCAAAAATTTTTGCTGATGAAATTTCAATTCATGAAAATAAATGGGGACCTTTACTTTCCCATATACAAACAATATAAATTTATCAGCGTCAAAGAATCTAAAACACATGCTGAAAAAAATGTGTTGCTATGTTTTTGCTGGCGGTCAAGAGATATTTGAATGTTATCTAGACACGGCTAACTAAGAAGAATGTTCAAGCTTGCTTTTGATTCTTGATTGATTTTGATTGGATATTTATATAGCGCTGGTATCCATGCTACTTTAGCATGCTCACTGCGCTCTGGTTTTATTAAATCTATTTTAACAAACAAGTTTTAAAATGTTTATTAAATGGTTTTTTATCATTTTTAATTCCCCTCAAAGATTGAGGCAGACTGTTTCATAATTTTGGCGTTATCGCTTCAAAAGAGCGCACTCCGTAAGACTTTTTTCTGTGTTCATCTGCAGTGGGAATTTTCATTAAGGACTGTGTTGAAGATAGCAGGTTCTTTAAGGATACATGTTTATAAATCAGTTCTTTAAGATATTCTGGTACAGAGCCTTCTATGCTTAGCTGACTGAAATAACATTCCTCTGAGCTTAAAAAACCCAAAAAGCAGCAATAGGGATGCAGAGCATGCAGAGAGTCTTTAGCTTTGTTATACTTTGACAATACATTAGAGACCCCCCTCCAGAATTAGGTACCCTTCAGTGTGCTGAAAGATACATATTATTTTTATTTAATATAGTTAAGTTGGTACGGTAACCGGTAATGTCCAGAATTCAGTAGCTTAATTTTATGAATGCTTTGGTTTCTGTAAAAATAAAATAAATACATTCTACAGTTCTGCATTCCGACGCCAGAAACGATGGTGGAACGCATACATTCTGTTTTATGAGAGGATTGATGATTTTACAGAGGAAGAGATTAGTAAAGAAATGAACAGTCTTTCATTAGGTATCAATTGTTGAATGAGTATTGTTTAACTAATTAATTTTATGTAAGTGCCAATAGAAATGCTGTTTGTAGTTGTCTTCTTTACATTAAAAATAGTTGATGTTCCATTTGTTTACAAGGGGTGCTAAAAATAGTTGATGTTCCATTTGTTTACAAGGGGTGCTAAAAATAGTTGATGTTCCATTTGTTTACAAGGGGTGCTAAAAATAGTTGATGTTCCATTTGTTTACAAGGGGTGCTAAAAATAGTTGATGTTAAAATAAAAGTAGTTAATGTTACGATAAAACTAGTTGATGAATGTCAGCCATGGACAATAAAAAGTTTGTGCCTTTGATTATTTATTTTGTACTATAAAAAGTTGATATCTTTTCTTAAAAATACCAATCAACCACTACGGATGTTTTTCTTTTTATTTCAGCAGCCAATTCCTTACCCCCAATTAAAATGCCTCAAGCCATAGAGAAGGTGGTGAGAAGAGGAAACATTCGATTCATGCATGAAAAAAGTCAGTTCTCAGTGGAGTACTTCACATTCATGAAGAAGCTGGTTGTTTGTAACCAGTTCATTATCAACCAGAGCATCATTGAGGCCAAAGTCGTAAGTACAAGGGGTGCTAAAAATAATAGTAATTAGATGTGACTAGCAGTAAGTAAAAAAAAAAAAAGGTGGTCTTGGGGTTGTTTTCAAGTTAAGTTTACCAGTATAGTGAGTAAAATAATGGTATCACAATTTAACTGAAGAATTGTATCATTTGGTTCCACTGTTACTTGATCTTATTTGAAAGCTCCCTATTGAAATAATTTTCTTTAAAAAAAAAAACTGCTTCTAAATTTTTAAAAATATTCTGAACAGAAATAAGGGGAAATGATCTTTTGTTCTTTTTCATGCCACTTGATACACAATAAGTTTTGCTCTATGAATTAGATCAATTCATAAACTTCTTTCTTGTTATTTACAGACTCAAGAAATTGAGCAGATATCCATGATAAGTACAGAGCTGGCATCCAAATTCCTATTCAATGTGGGTTTCAAGACAAAGAAGTCTCTGAGGTACTGAATGATTTGACAGTTGAATGAGAGATCCACAAACTGTCCCTCAAGTCACATATGCTTCTTCCTCCTTTAGTTTTCTTTTGGGGAAAATTTGTTCACACATGATCTTACATTTTTTCTCAAACAATTCCTCCTGTGAGACTTTTACTTAAGAACAAAAACAAAGCATTTGAAAATTAAAAGAGATTAATTTAATTAAAATACATCAGATTAATGTTGGGTTAATCTAATGCCATATTTTTAATGTTAAAATTAACACATGATTTAATTTTACATCATAACTTACATTACTAAGATTGACATTTACAAGGTGGCCAACTGACAAAATATGAAATCAGTAAAAAATTTGGAACAAATTAATCAGCAAGAAATCTGTCGCTTGAATTGTTAACAGACAAATTCTGAACATTTAAAAATACTTTTTTTATTGCTGACAAAAAATATGTTCCATTCTAAAAGACTCGTACCATCATACAAAGTCCATTCCTTATTCTTTATGAACAGTTACTTGTTCCATCTGTCTAACAGGGGCCCTGCCGGGGAGTGGTCAGAAGCCCTCCACATCCATTTCCGGATAAGCAAGAATGTTCGGTCTTGGTTTGCCCTCAATGTTTTATTCAAAAATCCCAACATTCTTACTGAATATTTATTGGAGTGTCCATCATCTGAGGTGAGTTACGGGTGGGATTGTTCCTTCCATTACATGGTTCAATATAACTTTTGCATTGATCAAACTTTAAAATACCTATATTTATATCGACTTGTACATAATCGACATGAGTTTATAAATTTATTAAAATTCAGTAAACTTACCTGTGTCAGCAGATTGTTATTCTTAAAGATTTTTCTACTCTACCCCAAAAGGAACTTATTTTTTAAGCAAGAGCCCTAAAATGCTGTAGATTTGACCAAAAAAATTTTTTTTTATAATCTTCTGAAAGTTTTCATTATAAGAATAATTTTAAAAATCAATTAAAATATTTTTGTAGGTGCGAGGAACATTTGTGAAGATATTTGTGATATTGACCAGTTTGACACTAATGGATGGACCATGTCCACAAGCCATTGCATCTCTCTCAGGTTAGTTCTGTGTTCTACTACATCTTACATGGCTGTCTGAATTATTTATCTTTGTAAATTATTTTTAAAATGATTATTGGCCAGCTGGCATTCAGTTGTTTTAAATTTATCATAGTTTTGAGTGAAAAAAACTTAGTTTGTAAAGAACTAAAAAAACAACTTGTCTATACATTTTTAATTACAGCCGCCAATGCCCAGCTAGACCAGAATGCAACTTTGAGCGACCACCTCCTTGTTGCCGCTCTCTCATTACTGAAGAAGGACATCTCTGAGCACGGTCGTCACCTACAGCAATACTTTCACCTATTTCTCATGTATCTCAGCATGAACCCCAATAACCCAGAAATGAATCTTAAAATTGTGAGCTCTCCACTAAATTCTTTAAATCGTGATCCTAACTTGACAATTGTGTTGTAATTGACCAAAATAGTTGTGTTGTAATGCACAAAAGTTAATTTTCCATTTGTTTATTAGTTAGTCATAATTCTTTGTGGTTATTGGTCTTGGTTTATTTTTTTGTTTAGTTGTTGGGGCTGAGAGTTAAAAAATAAAATAAATCTTCTAGCATTCGGTCGATGGGCAAGTGAGAGGGTTTTGTTTGTAACATTTACTCAGTAATATTCCTCTACTTGGTAACAGGTGTAATAATAGGATTTCACTGCAGGCATTGATTGTAATAAAGGTTTGGTCAGGATATTGGGTTAAGATTTTTTATCTTTCCTTGGCCTGAAATTCAGAAACTTCAACTTTTGAAACTGAGGGTACCTGCTCAGTTCATGCTTGTTGCTCTGGATGAAGGCCCCGGGCCACCCATCAAGTACCAGTATGCCGAGCTCAGCAAGCTTTACTCTGTAGTGTCCCAGCTGGTGCGGTGCTGTGATGTGTCTCAGAGATGTCAGTCATCAACGGTGAGTGTCCCCTTCCCAGTGGCGGCAAAATATACTTTCTATTACCAAAATATGAGCAGTTTTGAATCCTCTGTCACAGACTTAGATTTGGGATCTGCTGCACTCTAACCTTTTGATAACTCTGAAGACAAACCTATCATATTTTAAGTTACTCATCAACGGCTGCTCATCACTGTTAAATCCACTGGTTTATTACACAGGGTTTGCAGTGAAAAAGTAGCCCGCCACCGGTGATAGTAGGTCAAGATGAACAAGCAAGTGGCTGATTTTTCTTCCATACCCACGAGTTACAGCTAATGGTGGGACCACTGAAAGTTGTGGTTCCACTAGAATCTGCTTTAACTTGTGGGTAAGTGAAAAAAAAACAAGCCATTAGGTCATTCATCTCATCCTACTATGACCTGATTCTGGCCACTTTTGTGTATCCCATCTTGTAGATTTAACCAGCACCCAAAATGGATCTTTCATTTATGCAACCTTTTTATTTAAAGGTGATTTTTCTAGAGTTAAATTTTAAATAGATTAATAATTAATAACTATCTGACCTTCATTTAAAAATAAGGCAGTAAATTATTTGCTTTAAAAAATAGATAACCAAGACACATTGCAATGGTCTATAACATGTTATTTATTTTTTAATGGAGTTTTAGAATGCATACCCTTGTTTTTTGTTTTCAGAATCAGCCACCCCTTCCAAACCCCCATGGTGACCCACTGTGTCCTAAACCCTTGATGCCAATACAGCATCAGGTGGGGGATATATTATATGGCCGTAGTGTCTATGTCAAGAAGATCATTGAGGAGGCCAATGCTGTAGATGAAACAGCCAAGCTGTTGAAGGTCATTTTGAAACATAATTTTCTTGTTAAACATCTTTTCATTGTTTAGTAATTCCATTTTTTTTATAAATTTTATGTTTATTATATGATCTGTTTTATATATAAATAAATTTCCTCATCTGTGAATTGAATGCAATTAATGTTTAGTTATTATTTGATTTGTTTGCACCAAACTTCATGTGACTTTGATCAATTCTGTCTGACTTTGATCTCCTGTCTGACTTTGATCTCCTGTCTTAATCTTCTATATAGTTTTCCTTCTCCAACATATGTACCATATATTTTTAATAAAGCAATGCCCTTATATTTCTAGTATTGTTCCTGGGAAAATCCCCACTTCTCCTCTGTGGTCCTCAGCGAGTTATTATGGCAGGTGAGTGGTTGTTATGTTACTGATTGGTGAGTTAAAGGTGGCACTTGTTATTAGAATGCAATAAGCAATTTTGAAAATAAATTTATAAAAAAAATAGATTAACCCACTCCTATCTCTACTGCATGTTTACGTTCTACATCTTCTGCAGCTTTGCAGCTTCCCACATATTGTCTATCACTATCACATGTACTGTCTCTCGCATCAATTATTTCCCCGATATGGTAGTTCGCTCATTCAGGGGACAAAATTTCCCTGATATGGTAGTTCGCTCATTCAGGGGAACTAGCATCATAACATCCATCTATATATATAATTCGCCAGAAGTAAGGCAAACAAGAAAACGACCACGAAGGCTATTTATAGATACGCCAGAGCAAGCAAATCGCAGGCGAACCCTCCCGTCCCTTGCCTGCCCATCGTTGGTCTCGAGACATGCGCACTGCTGTGGCGCTACCACCCCCTCTCCTGCACTAAGCCGCCGTTGGGCTATAAATTAGTTCATGGGCGTGAAATAAAAAGTGTGCAGTGACTATCATGAAAGGGGGTGGGGGGGGGGGGGAGGGGGTAGCGAAATTGGCATTCTTAAATGTGCATAACTTGAGTTCACGTTTTTTTCAAGTAACTTCAGTAGGGGAAGTTCACGCATTGCTGTCGCCAATGTTTGGCGGGCTATATCTAGTATGATATAACTCTTCTTTTTGCATTGTTAACCTCTGATTCTTTACTTTTGTGGTTCTTTTTGTCATAAGTCTCACTTATAAAAATTGCTTGGTATTAAAAAAAAAAATCTTTTAAGGTTGCATATTCCTACACCTATGAGTTACGACCATATATGGATCTGTTGCTACAAATGCTGCTTTTAGAAGATTCCTGGCAGACCCACCGTATTCACAATGCATTGAAGGGAATCCCTGATGATAGGGATGGCCTGTTTGACACTATACAAAGGTCCAAGAACCACTACCAGAAGAGGGCATATCAGTGTATTAAACTGATGGTGGCTTTATTCACTCAGTAAGTCTTTAAATATACAGTACTTTGAACTTTTCAAGCAGTGTACACAATTGACTAAAATCAACCTTTCTTCCCCTTTACATTCTGTGTATTTCCAAAACAGGGTGGGACTTAACGCATGCTATTTTTAAATGCTTTGGTTAACTTGACAATAAAAATTAAGGACTGCGTTTTTTAACTACTTTTTTTATTTTTATGTTTTCATTTGCCCTGTTTGCTAAGGAAGGCTCTTAGCCAAAACGTTTGTCTTTTATCGTCCTGTCTTTCTATGTTAAGCTTCCACATGCCTTGTTCTTCCATTTTGTTTAATTTGACTTGAGCATTGCAACACTTGGACTACTTTCTGAAAACTTAATTAATTCTAGAGCTATAGTGGCATGTCATCTCTAATGGGGATGTGTTCCTGACCCGTTGGGCTCAATCCTAAGAAATCAGCCAATAGGCACCATGTCAATAAATCTAAATCAAGGAAATTGTACTGTCAACATGAAACAGCTTAGTCAATCACAAAGCAAAATGGCTTACTGGACACAAGAAACCAAACCTTAACACTGATTCAGCTGTTTACAAAATTATTATTAAATCAAGAGCCAGTACAGTTGAATTATGGGACAAAAATGGAAAATCAACAAGCCAGTACAGTTGGCTCACAGGAGTCAAACAGTTAAATATTTGCTTACCTTGACTTGTTCTAAAATAGTTCTAAATTGGCAATTTCAGAATTTGTAACCTAGTCTAATAAGATAACTAATTTCATTCCATAAATTTAAAAAGAGAACCAAATACTTCTCCCAAAAAATTACTTTATTTACAATAATCAGTTTTGTGCCAGTATTTTCCATCATCTGTTCTTTCCCAGAATCCTCCTATGAAAACAATTCAACAGCAGTAATCTTATTTGACTGCCATTGGCAAAGCACACCATTCATGATATGTTTTATTTGTTAAGATTGTGTTATCATGTAAACAGGAGAGCACACACAAAAGCAAAACAAACAGAAAAAATTATTGTCATGGTCAGATCACTTGATTATGTAATGTGTCTGGGTTGATAATTTTAACAGTGAGCAATAATGTTTTTCCTTTTGGAACTTTCCTTTATTTCACACCACTTTGACTCAGACGTGAATGCGCTCTTTTTTGTTATGAGGGATATAATTGTTATGTAGTCAAGATGCATTTGTTTTAAAGTAATGAGTGACTGGTTTCTTGAGCTGGGTGCAGAAATTTACATTTTTTCAAATGTCAAATGTGAACACTATTGTTACTAGTTTTTTTATTGGGCATTGTGTCATAACACATCATTTAAATAATTACAGGATACCTTTATTTCAAACCATCTCGTTAAGTTATTTGAAGCGAGAAAGAAAACGGAGTTTAGACTCTAACCTGATATTGTTTTCTTTGGCCGTTGGGAGAGGGACAACGCGCCACAATGATCTTTCATTAAAAAAATAAAAGTCATAACATTTTAATTATATCATGAGTTGTAAAATTGAGGGGGGGGGGGGGGGGTTTAAAAAAAAAACCCCCCCCCCCCCCTTTTAAAAAATTTTGTTTAATGTAACTCTCCAATAAAACAATAGCTATACCCAGTAATTTTGTTTAATGTAACTCTCCAATAAAACAATAGCTATACCCAGTAATTTTGTTTAATGTAACTCTCCAATAAAACAAAAGCTATACCCAGTAATTTTGTTTAATGTAACTCTCCAATAAAACAAAAGCTATACCCAGTAATTTTGTTTAATGTAACTCTCCAATAAAACAAAAGCTATCCCCAGTAATTTTGTTTAATGTAACTCTCCAATAAAACAAAAGCTATCCCCAGTAATTTTGTTTAATGTAACTCTCCAATAAAACAAAAGCTATACCCAGTAATTTTGTTTAATGTAACTCTCCAATAAAACAAAAGCTATCCCCAGTAATTTTGTTTAATGTAACTCTCCAATAAAACAAAAGCTATCCCCAGTAATTTTGTTTAATGTAACTCTCCAATAAAACAAAAGCTATACCCAGTAATTTTGTTTAATGTAACTCTCCAATAAAACAAAAGCTATCCCCAGTAATTTTGTTTAATGTAACTCTCCAATAAAACAAAAGCTATCCCCAGTAATTTTGTTTAATGTAACTCTCCAATAAAACAAAAGCTATACCCAGTAATTTTGTTTAATGTAACTCTCCAATAAAACAAAAGCTATCCCCAGTAATTTTGTTTAATGTAACTCTCCAATAAAACAATAGCTATACCCAGTAATTTTGTTTAATGTAACTCTCCAATAAAACAAAAGCTATACCCAGTAATTTTGTTTAATGTAACTCTCCAATAAAACAAAAGCTATACCCAGTAATTTTGTTTAATGTAACTCTCCAATAAAACAAAAGCTATCCCCAGTAATTTTGTTTAATGTAACTCTCCAATAAAACAAAAGCTATCCCCAGTAATTTTGTTTAATGTAACTCTCCAATAAAACAAAAGCTATACCCAGTAATTTTGTTTAATGTAACTCTCCAATAAAACAAAAGCTATCCCCAGTAATTTTGTTTAATGTAACTCTCCAATAAAACAATAGCTATACCCAGTAATTTTGTTTAATGTAACTCTCCAATAAAACCGTAGCTATCCCAGGTAACTTTCTTTAATGTTACTCCAATTAAGCAATAGCTATCCCCAGTAACTTTTTTAATGTAACTCTCCAACAGAATAATAGCTAGCTCCAGTAACTTTATTTAATGTATCTCTCCAACAAAGAAATAGCTATCCTCAGTAACTTTCTTTAATGTAACTCTCCCAACAAAGAAATAGCTATCCTCAGTAACTTTCTTTAATGTAACTCTGCAACAAAGAAGTAGCTGTCCCCAGTAACTTCCTTTAATGTAACTCCAAAATAAATGTAAACGACCCCACTAACCATTCCCTTTATTTCAGTGTTTTTTTCGTTTGTTTTTATCATTTCATCCGTAATTTTAAAATCCCTATTTTATTTGACAGCGTCCATATCCTGGTAACACTCAGTATCAGACATACAACAATTGGTCTCCTCCAGCCCAGTCAAATGAGACGAGCAATGGGTAAGAGATCTTAAATTTTTTTACCTCGTACCCAAGTTTTATTTTGTAGAATTCTTGTTAAATGACGTGGTACATAATGTAGGACCTATCTATGCACAAATACATTTATATATATAATATGATTAAAATTTGACGAGACACACAGACACCAATTTCCCACATAGGTAACCCATCGCCTTGTGCTATATGATGCTTGCTCAAACTAATCAAATGATGGCTCTGTTATCTTATGAAAACATTAAGAAATCAGAATGCATTTATATTAATTCGATTTTAAGTCATCAAAGTTTAGAATGGCCTTCCGAGCGCTTGAGAAATATTTAGCAAGCTTACAGTGGTAAAAACTGTCATATATATATATTGATATGGAATTTATTACAATTGATGCTGAAAGTGATATAGATAAACCATGTTTGAAAATGACTCTCATTTTGGGTAATGGGAATATGATTGGGTTGGATTTACTGTAACTGTGCACTCATCTTTTATTCTGTGGTGTGTTTGACTAAAAAATTGGGCTATTGCAGATATGTTTACCCTCAAACTCTTAAAATCGTACCATATCATAAAAAAATCATTCAACACATTATCTTAATAGTAAAAAAATAATAATACAGTATATTCAATGTATACACCTCAAAATCATACATTGAATGCCAAAATTGTAAGAGTGAACAGGTCTGTTATTGGTTTTATAGTTCAAACAATTTTGGATCATTTTGGACATTTGTATTGTTCAATACAGCTATGATTAATGGTAGAAGAGATTTTTTAACAGTGATAAATTATTCAATTCATTTTTTAAATTTAATTTCTTATTACAATTTTAAAAACATTTATAAAAACTGCATTCAATTCAAATGATGTATAACACTCCAGGTCTAGCATTTATATAATTTTCAGGAAAATGAGATTATGATTTGATGCATTTATTGAAAATATACTCTCCATTTTTCTGCTGCTATATGTGTCATTTAATAAAAAAGGAAGAAAATTTGTAAATGCATTTTTATTGAACAATATAAATAAAAAATGTAAAATAATTTTTTTTGTCTGCTGTCAAAAACAATTTTTTTTCCTATAATCCTAATTTATATGAAAATCAATTTTATAGAAAGTAAGTATTGCTTTTGTTGCAGTATGTGTCTGAAATTGTTGGCATAACCATGAAGAGAAAATATCCCCCCCCCCTCCCAATCCTCAAAGAGTTAAGAAAAATCTAAATTCTGATTTCATTAAAGGTTTTACTACATGAAATCTACTTTTTTATAAAGTGATAATGTGCTGTCATTGGTGTTTTTTACTTAGTAAATTGTATAACAACAGTATATTTGAATTTGTCATTTTAATTCTTTACAAAAAAACTTTTTTTTCCTGCCAAAAATGTCTCTTATTATAATATAATCTTCTTTTGCTAATCAGGTATTTCCTTGAAAGATCTCAGAGTGCAAGGATGACTTTGGCTAAAGCTTTTGAATTGTGTCCGGATGATGTAAGTAAAATGTTTCCTTCTTACTGTTATTATATATCCTACGTAAATGGGACAATTTTCTGCCTACCACCAAGAAGCATCACTTTTAAAATTGTCCAGTTTCCAATAGCTGGGTAAAATGGACTTAGGTCAGGAAGGCAGCTGTTCCTGAGAAGCAAGTAAAAAACAAACTTTAAACCTTGAGACAGCAAAAAAGCCGTTTTTATGGGATTAAAATCAACTGTTTAATGTTACCTCTCCACCAAACACAAAAATTACTGTAATTATGCTACCTCTCCCACAGAGCACAAAATTAACTACAATTTTGTCAATATTATTTTCATTTTTTTTGAGTAGATGGTTATAAAATGTTAGTTAGTTTATTGAAAATTATGGAAAAATTTATCAGCAGCTGTTGTCATTCTTTGAATGTATCCATACTTTGACTGTCATTATAATTTTATAATAAAGCACATTAATTCTGTAGTTTGAGGTAGCTCATTAATTTTGTAATTTGAGGTAGCCCAAGACTCCTATTTACGGGAACTGCAAGCAGTTTTTTATGTCCTAATATTTATTCTATAATATACCGTTAATTTATAGTTTTGCTTATTGGTTAATATTGCTTTTTGTGAAACTAATTTAAAAGTGCGTTACCGTTTATAACTGCATATAATGCGAACCCCTTAAATGCCCTAACCACATATAAAGGGTCCTTTTCCATAAAATTATTATACGAATTAGCAAAATATTTAATTTTAATAAAAATATCATCCTTAAAATTATTAATATTGTTAAATATTAAAAATAAACTATGGTCATACGATGCAACTATGCTAATATTTCAGCAAAGGGGTCCTAATTACATTACATTAAATCATTGCATTGCTGGTTTTATGCGCAGACATGATTGATTGTGTAATCGTGGCTGAATGCGAGGGGGCCATGAAGACTTGGTTGCATAGGCATTAGTACATATTGTTAACTGATAATGAACAATTTCTTACACTTGCATATAACGTGAAACGGCAATTTAATGTAGCATTTTTTTTACCCTAAATATCACATTATAAGCAATGATATATGGTACCTGGAGCTTTATTATTTTCTATATACGCCCAAGTGCCATGACTGAATCAATCTTGTCAATGCCTAGAAATTTTTAAAAAATCTGTTTTGCATCCCGTCAGGAACAGGAAGAGACTGAGATTGCAGATGATCAAGAGATCCACCCACCAGAGGAAGGAGGCGGTGCTCCAACATACACCAGCTCACAGCCTGCTCACATGGAGTACCCAGTATCCCAAGTGACTCCTACTGGCTCCTCTTCTGCACCCGCTCAGATATCCCCCAGCCCAGCACAGCCATCCACTGTCAGCCAGCCACAGCAGTCCGGGATCCATCGTGGGGTCACCCCTCCTCATGTTATAAATATGGCTAATGACATAGCCCTCAGCTCTGGGCCTGTGACTGGAGGAAATGGAGTAGGTCTTGGCCGGGGCCTCTCTCCCCCTCCTGGTAATGTCAATATCAAACAGTCTCTGCCATCACAGCAGCAGCGTCCGCCTAACCAGACGCCAAGCTCATCACCAGCCCCCTCCCCATCACATGGCCCAACTCAGCATAGTGATAACCAAGAAACGGGGGAGGTGGAAGGGTGAGGATAGCGGTCAAACCAACCGTAAAGTCATTCATCAGACTGGAAATGAACTGTTGTTTTTTTTAAAAATAGAATTCACTGTGAAATGTTATGAAATAAATATTTGCACAACAAGAGCAGGTTTGGGTTAAGGTCATGATCAAAGACATTTGATGGTCATCACAGATGTATGTGTAAGTGATATATTGACATATATGTATTGTAGAAGGTATGAATTGATGGAGGTAGTTCTCCAGTGCCCAGGGACTTGACTTCGGACTGAAGTGACACACAATTGTTAAGTTTGGGGGAACGTGGAGGAAAACATGTTTGAATGTTGAAATATTTACTTTGTGGACAATGTCATCAACAGAATCATCTCTCGCTGAGAATCTTCTCAGTCAACAAAAAAATTGTTTTAAACCTTAGAAATTATTTTTTTAAATTTTGTATCCAGGGCTAGAACTATTATTATTATTATTAAATAGTTGCTGCATTTTTTATGCTGACTAGCCAACATAGGATGAAAGCTGACTAGCCAAATTAGGATGAAAGCTGACTAGCCAACATCAGATGAAAGCTGACCAGCCAAATTAGGATGAAAGGTGACCAGCCAGCATAGGATGAAAGGTGACCAGCCAGCATAGGATGAAAGGTGACCAGCCAGCATAGGATGAAAGCTGACCAGCCAGCATAGGATGAAAGCTGACCAGCCAGCATAGGGTGAAAGGAAATGCTTGACTGAATGTTGATCTGTTTGTAAAGAGATGAAACAAGGACAAGATAATTTGCTGTTTGTGTCCTGTATTCTAGTTTTGTACCTGGTCATTTAGGAGCATTACTATTAGTCATTCACCTACTTTAGCAGAAATCATTCAACTTGATTTTCTCATCAGAATGTATTTCTGTATGAAGTGAAGCGTGGTTGACCACAAAGATTTGAATTAAACTGTTGTATGAATGTCTCAAATCATTTCATTTAGGTGTTAGAATACGGTCCATAAGATTATTTAGCTGATTGTTTCCTCAATGTAATAGTAAGACACTTGTCAAGGTTGATCTTAGTTTGGTGTGTAAAGAGCTGTAAGTAGTGATGGTAACTTATTCTTTCTTATCATTTCCTCCATACACACTCCCCCCGGGCCACATGACCCCAAGCGTCAAATTTATTCCATGTTATTTGTTATACGTTACTCATCAGCGGTGTCCTGTCTTTTCTGTATGAAACAAATGTTGGCAGGTGACAGCTTATTTGCCATGCATCATTTCAAAAATTTCTACAGAAAAAACAGACGGAACTCAAAATGTATTTTTATTAATGACCTCACTCTGATTAAATGTGAGAAAAGTTTTCAAATATGGTGGCAGAGGAAGGTTTTCTCATATCATGGTGGCAGAGAAAAGCTTTCTCATATCATGGTGGCAGAAATGCTTTGCTGTCACGTCCCCATTCCTTGAGGCTTTGGTTCATGTTTGCCTTAATGCCACATAATGTTTACAACGTTGCCCATTGGAATATTGTTTTTTCCTATCATAAGAACATGTGGAATGCCTGAGCCAATTTTCACCCACTCTGAAATCTGAATCTTGAGACTTTGTTTTTTCTCTTTAATCTCTGGCTGTTGGAGAGTTCCCCAACTTCATTCTAGAGATTCTACAGCTCCATTCATCAATTCTGTCGTGTGTGTTGATTTATAGATTCATATGAAAATTATTGTTTACCATCTGCTTTGGTGTACACACACACACACACACACACTGTGGGCCACCATTACATGGATGTGAATTTTGTTTCATTATAACAACAAAATAATGACAAATGTGATGCTTTTTTAATGCAGAATTTGCCCCACATTTGAAAGGCTTTTTCTCTACTCTTCTATTTATTGAAAGGAACGGCTAGAAAGCTGTTACTATTTGTGTTTTTATTTTAAACTCCATAATTTAAGATGTTCTCATATTCATAATAAAATTACGGATGTGTACAGACCATTGAACTTCTATATCTATATGCATCAGATACAGTTGATGTTTTGCTTGATCAAATGTCTTGAGCGTCTCACTGTTTTCCCAATTTGTGATGTGAATGTCTGAAGGTGGTCATCATGCCCCCTGTATGTATGCATTGCTTGAAGTTGAAGACAATGAGAGGAGGAAAGGTAGCTTTTAGTATTGGCTAGTTACTTCCAGTCAAAGACCCAATCAAAAATAGTTAATGTCTTCGTCACACCCCCCCTCCCTTCCTTCCCCCCTTAGAATTGATGGCTGAGATATTTAAAGTTTGACCAAAATATTCATTGTAAGCAACTTGTTTGGTGTGGCTTTGAATTTAGGGTGGCTATCTCTCTCTCTCCTCTCTCTCTCTCTCTCTCTCTCTGTCTCTCCTTTTTTTTCTTTTTCTAACTTTTGTTTCTGTTTATCTTTTGAAGATTTTCCAAATACTAGACTATGACACAATTGATACTACTTGAACTACTTGTACAAAGGAAGGAGATGGGAAAACATTGGTGACATATATAGGTCATCTTAAACAAGTCATTGTGTGGCAGGCATTATTTCCAGACCTTGCCTCTGAAATGTGTCACCTGTATTTAGCATGTGTTCTGATGGTACCCTGGTAGCAATTATAATCTAAAGACTGGTCTACAAACTTTGTTGGTATGTACCTTGGAAGTAGGTGGCAATTATAATCTTAAGACAGTGGTCTACAAACTTTGTCCCACCCCCGCCCACACCCCCACACCTCCCATCTGCTTAAATGTTTAGCTGACCCATGTGACCAAGAGAAGCAGAAGAAAACTAGTCTTAATGTTTGGGTTCTAACCCTGATGGGGTCTGCCACTACAGCGTTGGTGTGCACAGTCTTGTACAGGGTTGTCTCTTAAACAAAACTGACAACAGATTAACTGGATGGAATTAAAAGCCACACCAATATACAAAAAAATATGTTTAGTCTTTGGTTCACATATTGTGTCAAAGGAAGAAATCCCAACAAAAGACAAAGTCTACATCAACAAACCCTGCCTTGTTTTTAATAAAAGAAGACAATTGAATGTTGGTTTGCTTTGATGATGTGCTGGTATTTTACTGTTGCTGATGACAATGTGATGATTGTTTCTCAAATAAAGTTTGCTAATGCAAAAAAATTCTTTAAAAAAAAAAATCTAATCTTATTTGTAAACTGGTTATTTTATTGGATGTACCGGTACCCCGATAATTTATAATGCTGGGGATGTTCTCTTGTCTGTTTTTTGTGTTTTTTCTTCCAATTTTTAAAATTCAACCACCACCACCGATACCGTACTACCACTACAGCACTAGACCAGCACATGCATACATTAAGGGGTACCGTACTACAGCACTAGACCAGCACATGCATACATTAAGTGGTACCGTACTACAGCACTAGACCAGCACATGCCTATATTAAGTGGTACCGTACTACAGCACTAGACCAGCACATGCATACATTAAGCGTACTACAGCACTAGACCAGCACATGCATACATTAAGTGGTACCGTACTACAGCACTAGACCAGCACATGTATACATTAAGTGGTACCGTACTACAGCACTAGACCAGCACATGCCTATATTAAGTGGTACCGTACTACAGCACTAGACCAGCACATGCATACATTAAGTGGTACCGTACTACAGCACTAGACCAGCACATGCATACATTAAGCGTACTACAGCACTAGACCAGCACATGCATACATTAAGTGGTACCATACTACACTAGACCAGCACATGCATACATTAAGTGGTACCGTACTACAGCACTAGACCAGCACATGCATACATTAAGATTTACCGTACTACAGCACTAGACCAGCACATGCATACATTAAGTGGTACCGTACTAGAGCACTAGACCAGCACATGTATACATTAAGTGGTACCGTACTACAGCACTAGACCAGCACATGCCTACATTAAAGGGTACCGTACTACAGCACTAGACCAGCACATGCCTACATTAAGGGGTACCGTACTACAGCACTAGACCAGCACATGCATACATTAAGGGGTACCGTACTACAGCACTAGACCAGCACATGCATACATTAAGTGGTACTGTACTACAGCACTAGACCAGCACATGCCTACATTAAGGGGTACCGTACTACAGCACTAGACCAGCACATGCATACATTAAGGGGTACCGTATTTTAAAAGATAATAATGACATGATATTTTAAAAAAATAACTACAACACGTGGTGTTCCCAAGTGGTCACCCATCTAAGTGCTGAATCGGTATTTTCACGTGGTATGGGGTATATTTGTAAACATTAAATGCCTCTAGACCAGTGGTCGGAAAACTCAGCCAAAAGAGCCAAAAAAATCAGCAGCAGGACGATTAAATGTTTTTTTTCAAGAACCCTGTTTTTTTCACAGTCAAAACCGATTTGTAGCCGGCTGGTCGAGCTGCATTCAGGTCGCTAAAGAGCCACCCACATGCGACTCGTGAGCCACGATTTGACGACCACTGCACGAGACCACTGTTTGGTCTTTTCAATTCTGTTTTATTTGTTTTGTTTTTTTATTAAACGACACGTGCAGTCAATTGAGTTAAAGCTGTGGTGGGGCTTGACAACGTGAAACGCCAAAATACCTCATGATGAAGCTTGACAACGTGAAACGCCAATATGCCTCGTGATGAAGCCTGACAACGTGAAACGCCAAAATGCCTCATGATGAAGCCTGACCACGTGAAACGCCAATATGCCTTGTGATGAAGCCTGACAACGTGAAACGCCAAAATGCCTCATGATGAAGCCTGACAACGTGAAACGCCAATATGCCTTGTGATGAAGCCTGACCACGTGAAACGCCAATATGCCTTGTGATGAAGCCTGACAACGTGAAACGCCAATATATGCCTTCGGCTGCTGAAACCGATTCATCGTTTTTCTAACCCTGTGTTATGAAACATTTGCTAACTTCGGTAGATGAAGTTTTTCCAAGACTCTTCTTAACATGTCTCGAAGTGCGCCTTTAAATGAAGTGCAATCTTATTAAATTACCAACCTAGATAGCACATGTTCCGCTGCTGAATTTCAACCATTCAGCCTCCTAGTCCTGGTCCTAGAGACCTGCACTAAAACCTGGTGAATTGGGTTTCAGTCTGTCCTTAAATTAATAATAATACATGGAGGACAGCGTTCTCAAGTTCCAAAAACAATGTGAAGGAAATAGTGGTTGAAATAGAAGCTGGAGCCATAAAGACGGGACAATAAAAAAGAGAACGCTGCGGCTAAGAGCCTTCTTCAGCAGACCGGACAAAAGAAGAAACAACAAGAAATAGCGAACAGTTCAACAACGTATGTTTTTGAAGTTCGCCTTGAATTCTATGTTAATGATATTGCAAATGAACACTTTTTGAAATCAAATATTTGTTTATTTTGTTTAACTTGAAAAGTTAACTATATTTATCACAGCTTTAAAAAAACAAAAAACAAAAAAAAAAAACAAAAAAAAAACAACCTTTTATGTTCGTTACTTACTGTGTAATTATTATTAGGTCAACCACAGCAAACATGTCCAGTCGTGGCAAAATTATCTTTACAAAAAAGTAAGAAATTATCGGTAGGGACGAAGAGGGGAAAAAAACACGGGGGGGGGGGG